CATCGAGCCGAAGCTGAAGGAACTGGCCAAGCAATTTGACGACCTCGAGGTGCACACCAAGGAGAAGGGCGCCATGCTGTTCGACGCGAATCGCGAGGTGCTCGTCCAGCAGACCTGCGACGACATCGACTCGTACATTACCGACCTGGAGAAGCAGATCGTCAGCGGCGACACGGCCAACGATCTGACATCCGTGAACATCCTCATGCAGAAGCAGCAGGTCATCCAGACCCAGATGGCGGTCAAGGCCCGCCAGGTGGAGGAGATTGACAAGCAGACGGAGTATCTGCAGAAGACCGTACCCGAGGAGCAGATCGAACCGATTGTCGTGAAGAAGACCGCGGTGCTGGAGCGCTTCGAGAAGATCAAGGCGCCGCTGATGGAGCGCCAGAAGCAGTTGGAGAAGAAGAAGGAGGCCTTCCAGTTCTGTCGCGATGTCGAGGACGAGAAACTGTGGATCGACGAGAAGCTGCCGGTGGCCAATTCCAACGACTACGGTAATTCCCTGTTCAATGTCCATGTCCTGAAGAAGAAGAACCAGTCGCTGGCCACGGAGATCGACAACCACGAGCCGCGCATCAACGCCATCTGCAACAATGGGCGGAAACTGATCGACGAGGGGCACGAGGACGCCAAGAAGTTCGAGGCTTTGATCAGTGACCTAACCCAGAAGTGGCAGGAGCTGAAGGACGCCATCGAGAACCGCAAGAAGCATCTGCTGGAGTCGGAGAAGGTGCAGCAGTACTTCTTCGACGCGCAGGAGGCCGAGTCGTGGATGAGCGAGCAGGAGCTGTACATGATGGTCGAGGATCGCGGCAAGGACGAGATCAGCGCCCAGAACCTGATGAAAAAGCACGAAAACTTGGAGCAGTCCGTCGAGGACTACGCCAACACCATCCGTCAGTTGGGCGAGGTGGCCCGCCAGTTCAGTGGCGACGATATTTCCAGCGGCGACGCTGTCGCCGTCAAGCAATCGCAACTGGATAAGCTCTACGCCGGTCTGAAGGACCTGGCCGGCGAGCGACGGGCCCGCCTCAACGAGGCCCTGCAGCTGTTCATGCTCAGCAGGGAGGTGGACGACCTGGAGCAGTGGATCACCGACCGCGAGGTGGTGGCCGGATCCCAGGAGCTGGGCCAGGACTTTGACCATGTCACTCTGCTGTCGGAGCGCTTCAATGAGTTTGCCCGCGACACGGAGGCCGTCGGTGGGGAGAGGGTGGCCAAGGTGAATGGCATTGCGGACAACCTCATCCAGGCGGGGCACTCGGACTCGGCCACCATCGCCGAGTGGAAGGACAACCTGAACGAGTCTTGGCAAGATCTGCTGGAGCTGATCGAGACCCGCACCCAGATGCTGGCCGCCTCGCGGGAACTGCACAAATTCTTCCATGACTGCAAGGACGTGCTGGGCCGCATCCTCGAGAAGCAGCACTGCGTCTCCGATGAGCTGGGACGCGACGCCGGTTCGGTGTCGACACTACAGCGCAAGCACTACAACTTCCTGCAGGACCTGACCACACTGTACTCGCAAGTGCAGCAGATTCAGGAGGAGTCCGCCAAGCTGCAGGACGCCTATGCCGGCGACAAGGCCAAGGAGATCACCAACCGGGAGCAGGAGGTGCTCAACGCCTGGGACAACCTGCAGGCGATGTGCGACGCCCGCAAACAGAAGCTGGCCGACACCGGTGATCTCTTCCGCTTCTTCAACATGGTGCGCATCCTCATGATCTGGATGGAGGATCTCGTCCGCCAGATGAACACCTCCGAGAAGCCGCGCGACGTTTCCGGCGTCGAGCTGCTGATGAACAACCATCAGAGCTTGAAGGCCGAGATCGACACACGCGAGGACAACTTCGCTGCCTGCATATCACTGGGCAAGGAGCTGCTCACCCGCAATCACTACGCCTCCGCGGACATCAAAGATCGTCTGCACCAGCTGAGCAATAGCCGGAACGCCCTTCTCCGACGCTGGGAGGAGCGCTGGGAGAATCTCCAGCTGAGTGAGTAAACCCTTTATGATCCCTTTATCCATCTTGCTTCTACAAATGCTTATACTGTGTGATTCGTGCAGTCCTGGAGGTGTACCAGTTCGCCAGAGATGCTGCCGTGGCCGAGGCTTGGCTTATAGCCCAGGAGCCGTACCTGCTCTCCTCAGAGCTCGGCCACACAATCGACGAGGTGGAGAACCTGATCAAGAAGCACGAGGCATTCGAGAAATCGGCCGCCGCCCAAGAGGAGCGCTTCAGTGCACTTGAGCGGTTGACAACGGTGAGTGGTGGTCCCCGTGCATAATGCGCCATTCAATCAAATCTAATAATGTGTATCCTCAGTTTGAGCTTAAGGAAATGAAGAGGCGTCAGGAGCTGGCCGAAGAGGCTGAACGACAGAGGGTCAAGGAGGAGCAGGAGGCAAAGGCCGCCTCTGAGGCGGCGGAGCACGCCAAACGTGAGGCTGAGAGGCGCGATGATGTCGATGTTGGAATTTCTCACGATGATGCAGGTATGTAAACGATTTTCCCTCCCTCTATTCTCCCTCCTTCCATTTCCATATACTTCCCCGTCTCGATCCAAAAAACAAAACATAACAAAATGTCTACACCATCATAGATTGAAATCAAGATCAAGATTGCTCGATAACCAAAGACAATTTATCTCTAAACGTTCTATATCATTCACTCATGCTTACTAAACAATTAAACAATCAAAATCTATTAAATATCGCAACGGATTAACACAACCAACTAACATACAAAACAAAAAAACCATTTGAAGCCGCCAAAGACACGGCCGTCGAATTCGAGCGTGCTGTCGAGATCCAAACAGGTACAAAAACATTATCTGAAGAGCCATAGCCATAGCATGCGTATTATTATGCATTTATTATATTAGTATTATACGAGTAGCTTGAATATTGTATCATTGAATCCATTTCACATACATATTTGTGTGTGTGCTTAACCAATTATTGTGCTCAGCTTTGACTAACTGACGGCATTCGTTCTCTGCTCCACAGAACGAGGCGCCACACCAGCTGCTGGCGAGGGCCAGGAGGGCTATGTGACACGAAAGCATGAATGGGACTCGACCACCAAAAAGGCCTCCAACCGGTCCTGGGATAAGGTGAGTGATATCTGAATTCTTCCCTGGAGTGCATTTTTTTCAATTTAAAATCTTTGCATTGCGTTTGAAAAGGTATACATGGCTGCCCGGAGCGGACGAATTTCGTTCTTCAAGGATCAGAAGGGTTGCAAGAGTAACCCCGAATTGACCTTCCGCGGCGAGCCCAGCTATGATCTGCAAGGAGCTGCCGTCGAAATTGCCAGTGATTACACCAAGAAGAAGCATGTACTGCGTGTGAAGTGAGTAGCCATCACAACATCAATCCACCCATTGAACCATGCACGATACTGATTCTCTCCCTCTCTCTCGCTCCCGATTGTAGGCTCGCCAACGGAGCTGAGTTCTTACTGCAGGCCCACGACGATACCGAGATGTCCCAGTGGGTGACCTCCCTGAAAGCCCAGAGCGATTCGGCAGCTGTGGCGGCCAGCAGATCCCAGACTCTGCCAGCCACCTCACAAAAGGACGAACCAAAGCGCAGATCGTTTTTTACTTTAAAGAAAAAGTAAATCCAAGCATAGGAAAGAGCAGCTAATTAAAACAAAACAAAAAACGGAAAATAACACACAAAAAAATGATAAAGAAAAAGAAAGAAACAAATATATATTTTTTTTCATATATTTAAATTTATTTCGTAAAGAGACAAACAAAAACTTGCAAGAGACGAACGAGCAAACGTAAACCATTATTATGCTTATCAAATTTGCACGATAAATACTGCTATTATGATTAAACGTATGTATCTTATTTATTTAAACAAATACAAAGTAATATAAAGATAAAAAAAAACGACAAAAAACAAAACAAAAAACCATTTGAGGAAACAAACTCGTGTATGCATTTCAATGTATTCGATAAATAAACGAAATATTCCTTTAAAGTACACCAATTGGCACGGCATTTATACATTTTCGTTTCAGCTGTTTGCAGTGCTTGAATACTGTGCCTACTGCTCGAAATATGAGAGTGTGTTTTTTGATCCATCGATCCACCCAAAATTATCGTAATGGGATGACAAGACTCTTCGAGCCGGAATGAAGAATGATCCAGCTCCATTTGTCTGCGTGCATTTATGTGATTTAGGGAATCCCATGGGCTAGGGAAAACAAATTTGTAGGAATAATAATGATTACGGGTTCTGTTTTAAAGCTTAAAACTTTAAAATTTAAAGCTATAAAAATAATTTTAGATTTATATTTAAAACTCTACCATCCGGCCGTTAAATCTCGTTCAATCCGCCAGGGGTGCTAATGTTTCTGCAATATAGATACAAACACATATTCTCATTCTCTATGATACTGCGGCTTTCGGTTTTCTCGTATCTTTTTATATATGGATCCCACAGATTCTTGCTCTTTAAAAGGGCGGTATTACACAAGTGTGGACAACGTCTTGCTGCCTGCAGTCCCACTTTTTTATTTATTTTATTTTATTTAGACTTTCGTGGAGCTCAAATATTTGGGATCTGATTAAATTCGGCTTGACTGTTTTTATTTTCATTAATGTGTTTTGTTTTTTGTGATAAGAAATATTTGTGGTGAGTTTTTTTTGCTGGGCCCTCTTTTTAGAAGTACTTAATACCGTATTTTTAGTACAGTATGGTTACTGGTTAGGGGCACGAGCCAAATATAGAAATATTCTATATTCCGCCGCGGAACGGGCGGAGAGAAGCCACCGAGTAAGCCTAAGGGGCGCCTGGGCCCTGCCTGGGGAATAATGATCCCAGCCGGATCTAATGTCATATAGTAGCTAGTAGTATTATCGCTGAACTTTTTAGAATCTACCACTTCTATAAATTTAAAATTTAACTGAAAATCGGAACAAATTTAAAGCAAATGTAAAGATGACACTTTTGAGTCTCTTCCTGCCTGAAGTCTGGTCACACTAATACCATTCAATACAATTTTGCGCCTTTGAGAGACGCAGATAATTTTAAGTTTTGCATAACTTGTAGCCGGGCTAACGGGACGCACTGAATGCAAAATAGTTGAAACAAACTATTTAAAATGGATTTGAGGTGAGCGCAGTGTGCAGTGTTATCCCCACCAGAAGATTACTAAAACTCTTTCCGTGCATGTAGTATGAAGTGCGAGAATACGCCTCGGCCTTTATGGGAGCCATCATGGCTGACTAGTTTCGGAGAGTATGCTCAAGCCCGATCCGTTCCGATTACAGACACATTGTCAGCTGCTACATAATTATCCTGGAGCTGTTGCTTCGACTGCCATATTCTGTGCATGGGGTTTGTTCAATGGCAGCGATGCTCTACATGGAACTGGCCCAGCGCCGGTACAATGAGAGGAAAATAGTTCTGCACGCTCAGCTCAGCTGAAGGCTCAGATGAATCCCAGTGACCTGGAGGCTGCACAGAGGGAGGAACTGCTGAAAGCCTATGCCCAGTGTCTGCGTCGCTTGCACGCCCTTCTTAGAGCCGCCCACAGCAGAACGATAGTAACCGAGTAACCGTGTCTTATTCCAGTCGTGCCTTTTTAATCACAGACTTCTTTGTAGGTATCTTTGGCTCGGAATGTTTGGCCTCATGCTCATCCGGCTGCACAAGGAGCACCAGGATGTGATCGGCCTGGCCCAGCAGTTACGCGACTTCTGCAATTCATGACACAGGAGAGCTTAAAGCGAACCAAGTTTATGTTCTGCTTCGTTACCATCCTACACCTTGGCTGGAAGAATAGTTTAGCCAGAGCTATATACATGAGATGCACTTACTGTTTCGTCTAATGGTCGCTTGCGATCAAATTCCGTTGCCCAAAAACCTGAGCTTGGAAAGCCCAGTTACAGTACAATGTTGTGGGAACTGCTTCGCAAGTCCTTCGTCCGGAGCTTGATTTACTAGTCGGCGTTCTGATAGAGCACGGCATTCTTACCAAATATATCCACTGTCTGTCGGCAAGCCAGCTGCGCTTCGGCAACAAAACCAATGCCAAAAAACGGATGGCCGCTACGCTGAATGCCGATCTGCGGCTTATTAAGGTCCAAGAATCCGCCGTTGACGCTTGGCTTCTGCGCTGGACTGTTGTCAATCGCTGAATCTCTTGATTGAGGATGGCCGTTGGAAGATTGGAAAAAATGCCCAAGGAAATGGCTTGCTGCCGCTGCAGCATCTGCAACTGATTTCCCAAAAAAGTGTGTCCCGAAGATTATTCCAATGATATTTTAAATTGAATGGTTCGTTAAGTTCGATAACTGAAAATATCTTCATATATTTTCAACTTTTTCCAAACCTTTTTTCGTGCGACTTTTATTCTAGTTCGTACTCTCCTGGTGGATCAGCAAGGCAAAGAGGACGAGCAAGCAGACGAGAAAAATACGGACGGAAAATACGACAATGAGGATGGCGAGGGTACATGCGAAGAATGATTCTTGAACCTTGCAACTTGAATTATGAGACTTATGATTGCTTTATTTTTAAGTATCGAATACATAAAAGGTTGTTATATATTTATTCGCAATTACTCATAATTAGGTCGTGCGTTTAATGTAGGCCAAACAAGGCCATAAGTTCAGCAAGGTCCACCCTGTCCGATTGCTTAAAATGCATGAGCTTGTTGTACACGAAAGACAAGCGTTCGGGATTGACAGACACAGAAATTACTTGCTTAAGACACTAAAATGATTTGAATTATTTATACAAGGTTAAATTTATTTAGGGATTAGTTTATTAGTTTTACTCACCTCAAGGGTCATTTCGATAAGAGATTCACAAAAAGTTGCCGATATAGCTAAACTTATAGCGTAGAAGACTTGAGGTTTGGTAGCATTTAAGCATTTATTAGCATTTAAGTGCATCATCAGATCCACCACTTTACGTATATATTCCTTGCCTTTCTCTAGGGGGGTCTGATTAAATACCGTAAAATGCCGCATAGTGCCCAAATAGGTGTTGGAATCACTTTCAAATTTATAAACGAGTGGAAACGTGAAAAAAAGGTCCTCAATCTGTATGCCAGAGGCAAAGGTATTGATTTGAAATACTGCTGTGCCATCAATATATCCCAGAGTAACGCTGAGGGTGTAGGTCTTGCCACTCTTACAATTCACCTGGCCAATATGGGCCAAAGCTCTTTTGAAATCCGTATAAAAAAAAAAAAAAAAAAAAAAAAGGGAAAAAAAACCATACGAAGAAAGGGGGGGGGGGGGCTGAGGGAAAGAAAAAAAAAAAATAATTTATTTAAAAAAAAAAAAAAAAAAAAAAAAAAAAAAAAAAAAAAGAATAAAAAAAAAAAAAAAAAAATTCTCCTTGGGGAAAAGGGGGGGAAGGACCGGACGGGGAAAGCCAATGGAAGGGGGCTTAAAAAAAGAGGGGGAGTCCGATGGCCAGAACGTAGCAAGTCACCGAGTCGGCCACAGTCAGAAGGAACTGGAATTGATCAAGAAGCTATTCAAGTGACAGATACTCGGAATTACAGGTGATGTCTGAACTTACAATCATGGCAGCATCCGAACTTATTCCGCTGCTGAGGGAGAAGTAGAAGTTGAGTATGACAATGGGATTCAGCAAGTAGATGGCGTAGGTGAATCGGCTGGCCCGCTGAATGGAGCTGGCCTGCAGGAGAGCAAGGAGCCAGCGAGTGGGTGCATACGGTTCGCTTGTATCCGACTTGGCTCCCCTTTTAATGAGGTGGCTAACCCCTGAGGCAAAAAGCAGTCGGAGAAAGAGCAGAAAAATTGCAATTACAAGTGACGAGGAGGCTTGACTCGTGCCCACCACCGGATACGATAGCCCCACCAACACGCATGCCAGGCCCAGCTTGGCCCACCGATTAGGCAGCACCTGATCGAAAGGAGTCGGGCAGCCCCGAGCATGAGAATACCCATAGGCAGCGCCAACAATATAGGACAGCATGCGGACAATGGGATTCACGTAGAACAGCCCGCCAGTGTGAAATAATGACTCAAAATTGCCGCCCACATTCAGGATCTTCATCATCACAACCGTATAGACAGCGCTCCCCGCCAGCAGCAGAACAACCAGACAGCGCACCACCCTCTGATGGCTGGTGTGAATGAAGAGCAGCAGCAGAGCCAACATATGGATCTGCATATCACAAGCCAGCGACCAGGTCCAGTTCCCACACATCTCTAGGATTGGATAAAGGTTCTGGATGAATAGCACCTGGCGGTGCCAATGCTGATGGCAGTGCAGGTCCATCGCATCGATTATGTGAAAGACGGACACCTGTCGATGATATTCCATGCTGAGGGTACCTATCAGAAGGACTACGAACTGCAGCGGAGCCAGACGCAGGAAGCGATGCAGCAGCTGCCTGAAGTAGCGATGCACATTTCCGCCCAGGCTGTCCCGAGCAATATTCTGTTGCAGTTTCTCGTCCCGCAGAAAATTCGTCACGGTGAGGAAGCCACTGCAATGGAGATAACATTGATAACAGGTAAAAATGAAAGATGGTTGCATGCCTAATACCTAATAACAAAGAAAACCTCCACTACAAGTGGTAAGTAGGTGTGCTTCATGGTCAGTTTGACCACCTTGTCGAGCATCTCCGCCGAAGAGTCACTGGAGAAGTACTTATACCAGATCACATGCACCCCCAGAAGGGTGAAAGCAGCGTAGACCCTCAGCCCATTGATGACGCTGTTCTCCTGGCTGGGATTCACCTCCTGACGGAGGCGTTGCCAGTTGGCAGATACATTAAAGCAGGCCAGGATGCGGGAATTGCCTGCAAGTCCACTTATGGCCAGGACGGTCAGCAGGAGCGTTCCAGCAGTCACTCCCAGGAGCAAGTAGAGTGTTCGGCTATTGTAGAAGTCCTGCCTCAGCTGTGGCTTCTTCGCGTACTCAAGCTGTGGACGCATCTGCCAGCGTTGAAAGCTCTGGCCCGTGATCAGAGCCTGACGCAGTAGTCGCTCGACTCTGGGGGTGCTGCAACTGCTGGGCAGGCAGAGACCAATGTGGAGCATTGGGTCATCCCTGAGAGACACCGACAGTTGCCACGGTGATCTGGCCCGGATGTAGGCCACCTGGTAGTCAAACGCAAAGGGGGCCACATCCAGCAAGAGTCTCGACTGTCGTGCGGCGAGTTGCGTAAGCACTGGTTCATTGACAGCACGGCAGGTGGCCGGACTGCCCAGCCATAAGCTCTGACCCATCATGAAGTTGGAAAAGCCCTCACCCGAAGCATCCAGAGCTGAATTAATCATGAGTCAATTTAACCGATCAGCGACCGATCAGTGTGATCTTTCACTTACCCTTCAACGCCCAGAACTGCTGACCCTGCCAGCCATCCCCCAGCTGCAGCAGATGCTTTTCGCACTGGCTCATCGTTACATTGGTGGAACTCTTCGGAACAGTTTGCACGATATCCACCAGCAGGGATTTGGTCTCCCATGGCCAGCCCTCGCCCATCACGGCGAGGACTTTAATCAGCAAAAAAATGATCAGCATAAGAAGAATCCAGACAGCTACAGGAGCACTTCAGGTCTCCAAGACAGACACTACGCAACTAGCCGAGTTTCTTAGCGACAGCAAAGTCTATGCGACCCAAATAACCTCCAGATTTTATCACTCTGTCAGTGCTTCGATGAACCATAACGCTCGGCTTGTCCCAGAAACAGCTTTGCTTTTGCTAGCTGCAGCTAAGCTCTGATTTTATTGGATCCACTGCTCCACGTGTAAGCACGATATTACTTTGTTGTTAACTGGAATTACTCGTAAATAGACAGCTCGACAATGCCATACCCAGTACTCGATGTATTATTTATGCAAATTTTATTTAATTTAAAGCAAAAAGTGGAAAAGTAAAAGAAAGGCTCGACTGATTTTACGGCGGACTGCTTCGATTCTCCTTTTACGACTGACTGCTGTTCTTCTTCTTACCTGCTGTTACTGCTTCTCTGCTGTTGATCTGCTGCTAATTCAGTTCTTCTGTTTACTGCTTCTCTGCTGTTGATCTTCTGCTAATTCCGTTCTGCTGTTACTGCTTCTCTGCTGCTAATTCCGTTCTGCTGTTACTGCTTCTCTGCTGTTCTGATTTGCTGCTGTTATGCTGCTGTTCCGTCGCTAACCGATTTTATGCTGCTTTCAATGAGGCAACTGGTCCCACTCCTTCTTGCATACATAATGGATCCAAGTTAGTTTTCCAATGGACAATGGACAATCAAGATTATTTGACAGCAGGAAACTTTTTACTGTTTTCACTGTTTAACATCCTTCCCCAACATATGGGATAAGTGGACTGGAAAGAAGCTCCATACACCCTTGGGCTGTAGGATTACATTTCACTATTATAATCTTGCTTCGTATTTACAATGCAGTCTTAACGACACTTGTATCTATCGTTTACCATCAGCCAAAGGTCCATGGCCATTAAATATACGACTGATACTTAAGTAAATGCTAAAAATAAACTAGTTTCTTGTTACTTTTGTTAATGCACTGCCGTTGGCCTAAAACATTTTCCAGCATGCTTTTAGGCGCCAACTCTAAATGAATTGTGTGTTCATACTCGTAGTCACAGATCATAGTCAAAGTGTGAAAGTGAACGGGAAAAGGCACAACAAAAATGGACTTTGTTTCTTTATTGTCTGTTTGAGTTGTTTTCCTTACATGTGAGATGGATAATTCCCATTATTCCCATGCCCAACCAGAAGAATCGAAGCCACATTCGGGCGGCTTTCTTTGTTTTGGCACTTTATTTGTTTTATTTATTTTTATTTGTATTTTAATTTGAAATTGTTTTTATTAATCAAACTTGTACAATAATATCGAATTAATATTAGTTATTTTAGTTAGTTTATCCATACAACGGTATCTATACAACAAAACGTTAAGATTAGTATTAAAAAAAACAAAAAAAAATAATCGAAATATTATAGATATTGCATTTAAATTATAATTATAATCAACATATTTGTAGATTAGATTGGAAGAGGCGTGGCAGGACAGCAGGAATGGTAGCGATTTCGTTTTGATTTTTTTTTTATTTCTGATTTCAGATTTCAGATCTCTGATCAGCAATTAGGTTTGGCCTTTTATTTTGATTTGCTGCTTGTCAAATGAAACTAAAGCCAAGGCCGGGCATTTGTTAGAGAGCGAGACAGCAAATAGTTAGACAGAGACAGAGACAGAGACATACTGTGTGTACAAGATATTCGAGCATACGGCAAACGAGTGGTTGTCGAGCGAGAGACAGAGTAAAAGAGCGATGGAAAATCATTTTCGATGGCCGGCAGCATTGCGCAGCTCTATGATGGTGGCCCCGGAGCCACGTCGCAGATGCTGCTGCTGCTGTTGATGCTGCAGATGCTGGTGATGTGTGTGGAAATGTTGCTGATGCTGGTGCTTGGAGTCCACCTCGCTGCTGCGACGCACGATGCTCGCCGTGTCCTTGTTGAGCTCGACGGACGGCGGGGAGCGCGAGTCCAGCGAGTACTTGGGCTGCAACGGATACTTGTGGCCATTGGTGGAGGGGCTGCGTGAAGCGTAGTCCTCGTCGCCGTGGATGACCCGATAGAGATCTGGGGCCTGCTGGTGCAGGCCGCGCAAGTACATCTGTTTCTTATCCTCCTGATAGGGCAGATCTGGGTCGTCCTCGCTGCCAGTGGCTATCTTGGTCAGATCCTTCTGACTGCGACTGATCAGATTGACAATGGAAGGACTCTTGAGACCGCTCTTCAGCGAGTTGTCCTTGCCGGCGAACAAATGCGGATTGGACTTGTAGTTCTGGCTCTGGCTCTGGCTCTGGCCCTGTCCCAGCCCCTGTTCCTGCCTCTGCTGATAGCCATTGCTGTAGCTACTGTTGCCACCTCCTCCACCAGCTGCTCCGCCGCTATAGTTGTTCCTGGTCAGCTTCTCGATGTAGATCGGACTAGGGTCATTGCTACCGTTCATTCCATGCACATTGAAGCTCTTGCTACGGTTCAAGACCTTGGCATAGGTGCGGGCAGGCTTTGCCGGACCCTGCGGCAGTGCCTGGACCTGGCTCACTCCACGCTGCTGCTGTTGTTGCTGCTGCTGTTGCTGCTGCTGTAGTAAGGTCGGGGCCGTGACATAGGTGGACGTAGATCGACCGGGAGGCGGCATGGGCTTCTCCAGGCCATAGCGCTGCGTGCGCTGCTCGTGCAGCTTGCGGGGCAACGTCTGCGCCGAGCGGTAGTCCTGCTGCTGCTGGTGGAGATTGGGCGTGGAGCCGCTGAAACGTTGTCCGTGCTTCTGGTAGCGTCCCAGGGTATGTGACGAGGTGACAGGCGGCGGAGCCCGCGACTCATAGTAGTCATCCTCCCGCTCCCGCTCTCGCTGGTCGTAGTGCTGGCGCGGGCGACGCTCGTAGATGTTCTCCTTCCCGTAGAGGGTGCTGGAGTAGGGATCCTCGCCCAGGTAGTACCGCTGGCGCGGACTGATCGTCTGCTCCAGGTGCTGCAGCTGGGGATCTGCAGACTCGGCTCGCTTGAAGTTCTGTCGTCCCGGCTGCGTCGATATGGCTAGCGTGGATTGCGTCTCAGGCTTGAGGGGCTCTCGCTCCCGTTCGCGATCTCTTTCCCTTTCTCGCTCCCGTTCCCGTTCCCTGTCTCTATCGCGCTCCCTTCGGTGCTGATTGTCGCTGGCCGAATCCTCCGAATCGTTGCTGCTGTGACGGTGTCCGCCCCCGCCGCCGATATGGCCATCGATCACATTGTACTGCTGATAGGTGGTCACCCCAGCACCTGGGGCACCCCCAGGAGCACCACCGCCGCCTCCGCCGTGACCCTGACTGGGCGACTGCTCTCGGGACTTGCTGGAGGCGGACTTCATGCGGAACTTCCGCTCGGCGCTGGCCGAACGTATCTTGCTGACCAGCTTGCGCAGCGAGTTCCCAATGACCTGCCCCATTCGGCTGGGCTTGCTGAGGCCGCCCCCGGCACTGCCACTGACCGCAGACAGATTCGAGGTGGAGGCAGAAGTGGCTCCCGGACGGAGGGTGCCCGTGCTCGCGCCTGCCCCTCCCGCCAATGGTGGCGGATAGTTGGACGTTGGGGCGAACCGAGTGCGCTGCTGCTGCTTCCTGCTGAGGGTCATCGTGCTGCTGGGCACCTCCCGTGGCAGCCGCGTCATCAGGTAGTCCACCTGCGGGGACGAGGAGCGGCTGCGGCTGCGAGGTGGCGGCGAGTAGTCCGGCGGTGGCTCCACCGATGGAAGGGGTGCGCTCGCCTTGATGGGCACATGGATATGGGCATGGCTGTGCTCGCCCAGCTTCTTCTCAATGGCACGTCGACGCTGCGGGACTGTGGGCCGGGCCAGGCCCAGGTTGCTGCCGCTGCCGGAGAACTCCATGGATGCCAGAGAGGTGAGTGGCGGCGCGTTGGGGCAGCGGACTCGTAGCTCTTGCCGCGTCCGTTTACCGCAGCGGGGGCGATTCCATTCACCGGGTTGCTGTTGTTGTGGCGATGTCCGTACGCCACTCGCTTGTGCGATGGCTCCTCGGGGCGTGGCGGCACCGGCGCTGGTCCCGGGCCGGGTATGGCCTCCAAGTCGTCGAGGGCATCGCGGGAGCCGCGCATGGAGCGGGCCAGAAACTGCGAGGAGAGGCTCTGGCGCTTCTGCTGCAGGATATCCTCCCGGCTCACATAACTGTCCTTGGCCAGGCTGTCCAGCGGTGCATTGGCATGGGCAGGCGTTCCCAGTCCCGATCCCTGGCTGGATGTGGGACCGCTGATCTTCTTCTTGAGCCCGTTGCGGCGTATTGTCTCCTGGAGATCCTCGCGGAACGCCTGCGACGAGAAGTGATTCACCGACGGTCCCGCCTCCTTGCGCTCCGACCAATTGGAAATGCCTTGAAAGTACTTGGAGCGTCCTGCCCCACTCTGGTTGGCTGGCTTGCGTTCCAGTGTGGTGGCTGGCACCGCCATGGCGGGCGGCAAGCGCTCCCGATCCCGATCCCGTTCCCGCTCTCGTTCCCTCTCCCGCTCCCTCTCTGCGCTGCGGGGCAGGGTCTGCGGATGATGGGCGTGATGCTGGGGAGGATGATGTGGATGCTGGGTGGTCAGCTGCGACTGGGAGTGACCATGGGCATGCACATGGGCCGCCGGCTGGCTCTGCGACTTGATGGTCACATTGAAGTAGCTCTTCTTGGTGGGCTCCACTTCGGCCGCGGCCTCGTCGTCCCGGGAGTCGTTGGAGGCTGTGGACTCGCTGCCGAAGTGCGACTCCAGCCACTTCATGGTCTCGCCCTTGCGGGTCTCCTCCTCGCGGTCAAAGTCGAGCGGCCGCTTGGTCAGTGCATCTTTGCGATCGGCCAGCAGGGCCACCTCTGAAAGGGAATCACCGCAGGGATTAGCTTGGCTTGGCAGCTTTGGGAGAGGGGATCTGGACCGTGCTACTCACCCTTCTGCTGCTGCTGCTGGGAGCGCCGCAGCTTGCGCATGCGATCCGAGAGGCTGTCCCAGTCGCCGGGTCGCTCCAGTTCGCCGGGACCGTCCTTGTCCATCTGGGTCGTCTCGGCCGCGTAGCGCATCTCGGTGGACAGCAACTTGCCGTTGGCTAGCACATCCACATGCTGCTCGTCGCGCTGGCGGAAGTATCGTTGATTGGCCGCCGTCGTTGTCACCTGCTCCTGCGCCAGTCCGAACTGCAGGGCCCGCTCATCCCTCTCCCTCTCGGGCAGCTCGTCGTCGAGTATGAGCTCGTGCTCGGTGGTCCGCTTGCTCTCCGTCACCAGCGTCCCGTCCTCCTGGGCCAGGCACCGTTTCTGCGTGTCCTCCGAGTCGATGGTCTTGCGCGACTTGCTCCGATCGGCGACCACCTGCGGCCCCAGTGGCACCAGCTGACGTTGGCTCTCCGGCGAACAGAGCACGGCCTCAAGATCCTCGGCTCCCTCGCGAACTGCCTTCACGTAGGTCTGCCAACGAAAAAAACAAAAAAAGGGTAGCCAAATGAAAACTCTTGCCTAGTAAGAGTAAGCCACATTCTGGTACAGTAGCTCCATCTGCTCATCTCCCTGCCCCCCTGTAAATGTTGCATCACTTCTCCAGCGTTGCAGTGACTGCACACACACACACACACACACACACACAGCCCGTCCTAGCGCGGTCCCAGCTGGGTTTCAGCTGGCTTTGGTATTCAGAGCAAGACAGACAGAGTCGGAGGAGCAGCAGCGGCAGCGGCAAATCCATTTACTTTTTCAAGCTTTCAAAGCTTCAAGCATGGATGGGGCAACGTCATTGGGTTAACGAAGGAACGAAGGCAGCCACCGATGACCGAAGCTTTAGATACCCTTGGATGGATCTGTACAATGTGGTACATCTTCCCTTTATCGTATGGGGATTTATGTACACTAAATACGATTCCCTTTGATCTGATTTCGGACTTGATTTAATGGATCCGATCGGGGGGGCTCAATCGGATGGATCTACTAGTGCTGATGAAGAATACATACACACATACATACATATGTATGTACTCGTTTACTAGTGTGTGTGTGTGTGTGCGTTGCAAAAATCAGGGCAATATAATAGTTGTAATACCTTTTGCAAGGGTATAAATACGAAGAGGAAGAAGAAACAGCTGGAGAGGGGAAAACAAAGAGAAGGGTGCGGTGCGGGGAGGCTAAAGAAGGGAACACTTCGGCATAGACATCTCAAGGTCGGATGGGATCGCATCGCTGGAATGGAATGGAATGGAATGGAATGGATGACAAGCAAAAGGCACGCCTGGGTGACCAGCGCTGGCCATCTCCGAATCGCTGAAGAAGAGATCGCTTTGTGCCCGATCCCCCCCTTTCCCCCACCCACCCCCCACCTGCCAGCTACATGTGGATCCACAACTGGTTGTAGTTTTAGTTTTTGACCTTGTTTAACGGTAACGCGCGTAGAAAGTGTTTTGTTGCTGGTTTTGTTTTCAGTCTGAAACTTGATGGTCAGTCAGACCCCCGACCCGACCCCGACCGCCCCCCCTTGCCGCTGCATCTACAGCATCCGCTCACTCCCCTCAGTGATGTGAGATTCGCCTCTGGGACTGTTGTTGTTCGCTTTTCAACCCATTGATCGTTCGATGGCAAACGAAATTCGCCAGCCATATGCATCTGTCTATCTGTACATGCCACAGGGGCATAATCGCACAGTGCCGGAGCAGATATTAGCAGTGATTCTTCACTGATTCAAAGCGAACTTAATGCAGATCTCCAGCTGAAGAAGAACGGATCAGATTCATAAACTGAATCAATCTTAAGCCTCACAATGTTCGAGGCCACCATCAAAGTTTTTGCATGCCAAGAAAAAAATTGAAAATCTTCGGGACAGAGCTTTTGATACCCTTCAAGATCAGGCAGATACTCGTAGTTGGGATATGTTTTCTCGATCGTTTGCTATAGCAGCTAAATACTATATGTTACATACCGATCAGATTTGGATAATCTTGTATTCAATTAACTGAGTTCTCGGAAATGCAACGGTATGAAAATCATAAAATTTAAATGATATTTTGATATTTGTAATGATGCCCAAATTCTTTATTTTATTTTACGATAATTTCGATGTTGAAGACATTTCAAGAATCCAAAGTATTCGCTAAATATTTTGGGGCGTCTGCCAACTGCTATTAATTTGAGCGCTTAAGCAAATGTTGAGTGAGACGGTGTCTGTGGTTGCATTCGGCGCTGCTGGCTTCAATGATCGATCCAAAATAGCGAAGCCAGAGAAGGGGAATCAGATATATAGAGATGGCAACGAGCTGTTGTCGTTGGCGTTGGCGCGCCAATCGATGATTAATATCAATCGATGACGTTGACGCTGACGCAGAGTTCGAAGCGGAGACACGGACTTTACCCCTCCATCAGTCTTTTTATAGCATTGTGAAGAGGTTTGTCATTGACCAAAAATACCGTAACCCAATGGGCAACACACTGAATGTGAGCATATTGGTTTGGGGGAGAGCTGAACGCTGATAGCTGATAGCTGATCGCTGATCGAACTATAAGAAAACTCGGGCAAAACGATCAAAAGGTATACAAGGTTGCAACTGAACTGAATTCATTGTGATAGCCAAAGTGTGTTTAAGTTAAGTGCTTCTCAGCAAGTGGCAAGTTGCTTTCCATCACTCAGCAGTCGCTCAGCAGAAAGGTGGCCTGGCCTACTCCTGGAAGTGCTTCCAACTGCAGCTGGAGTACCTTGCTTATAGAGGGTATCTCCTGTTCGAGAGCACACTCTGCTTTCGTGGCTGTGATTTATCTCCGACTTGATTCGCTTATTGCCTTGACTTAACTTGGCCGAATCTCAAACTGATTTCCAACGAAAAGAGTTGGACCTGCTGGGCCATAGGGGCAGTGGTAATGGGCACGGGGCCCACTCAGCGGGCACAGTGGCAGGGCTCCGAAAATACATAGGCATACATACATATGTATGTATGTACATACTTCTCATGCATGTACCCATACCCATACCCATACCCATACACAGCCAATATTCAAATGGACTGTTGGCCATGTTGCCTGGCATGCCAAGTGGCCTGGCCGAAACCGAACCGTCGAAAAAACAAAGCCGAATGAAAGACACAAAATCGCAACAAACTAAAACAAAAAACAGAAAAAACCAAAAAAAAAACTAAATAAATAAAAAAGAGAAATGAGCAGATTTTAAAAGGGGAGCCGAAGGGGCTGGCTCGGTCGGAGTGCTGGAGCTGGAGCTGGGCTCACCGACCAAGACCAAGACCAGTTTGCCTTGGGAGTTGCTCAACCTCACGGAGCTCGCGATCGATTATTATTATTGTAATTCAGTTAGTGTGCGGCCAACGCCAACGCGCCAGCCTGCCTCCATATGATAATGATAGTCGAGTCGATGATGAGGTTTGGGGCTGGTGCTGTTGCTGTTGCTGTTGCTGGAACTGAAACTGGAGACAGAGCAAGAGCCAGACGTAGACCCAAAAGCCTGGCGTTGGGCGTTGGGCCCTCAACAGTGGACATACCACAAAAAGAGAGGGTACCTTCGGCGGCCCAAGTTACAGGATGCCCTTGCAGAAAGAATTTGTGAAAAAGTATCAAGCGGGACGACAGGTGGAGAGTTTCGCCAATTTATTATCGTAAGAAATGTCTTAAGAGACATGATGGACTACGGACCAACAGATGATTATCCAGATGATTATCTGCTGTGCAGACTCTAACTCTGGCTTATGAATTGCTCTCTAAAAGAAACATTCTTGGTTGGATTCAGCTAAAAATTATTGTCTATGCCGATTCTGACGTGTCTCCTTACTGCAGACAGAACAGATTCCAAAAAGATTGGTTCTTTGATCAAATGTAGATGCTGGGCTATAGCACAATTCAGGAGCCTCCTATTGCTGGGAACAATAGTACTTTATTGGGCTTCAGAACCCCCCACATCTGCCTGGTATTGAGATAAAGCCATACATACATATGTAAGTAATTTATAGGTTCGGAAATAGTTGCCTCCCTGCGCGGCAAGCAACTGGGTATGTGTATACTTAGTTAAACGCCCCGTTGCGAGTCCAAGTCAAATCTCGACTTTGGGAACGAGTCGGGGAGTCCAGACTTGGGCTGCTCTAGAGGACTGAGCGGGGTCTACCCTGGGTCTGGTTATAGTTTCCGTTGCGTGAAGTTGCTGCCCCCTCGGCCCCTTTTCCTGTCCCACTCCCAGTCCCTGTCGCTGCCACAGCCACAGCCGTTGCCCCAGCTGCTGATTGGCATTTGCTGATTAGAGTTGTTGGGGCTGGATCGGTTTGGTTTGGTTTAGCATGTGGGCACCTAGACTCACTCGAAACGGGTTTCGGTTTGGGCCACAGCTAGCCAAGTACCCACACACACACACACACACACACACACACACACCGACACACAGACACACACATGCTGGCAAGGGAACACACAGATACAAAGAAGTACTGAAAGATACAAGAAATGAAAATTCAAATTCCAAACACTTTTTAGTGGGTATCTTGGGGGCTCTCTTGCCACCAGACTTCTGTGAATGTTGTGGCATGGACGAATTTAATGTGGCCTCCCTGCTGCCCACAGCAATCGTCTCACGTCCTCTCCTCCCAGGCCCATTCTTCTTTGTGTTTATATCTCAATCTGTGTGTATCTGTGTGTGTGTGTGTGTGTGTGTGGGTACTTGGCTTTATATGTGTGGTAAGGTTCATGGACCCTGCCTCAGACACGCCTAGAATCCAAGCAGGAGACTCCTCTCCAGCTATTGATTAAACCTGGCTCAGAACAGGTCTGCGCAGGCCAGCTGCCCCAGCCCGAACCCAAAGAGTGTACTCTCTCTCTCTTTAGTTCTCTCTCTCTCACTCTTTCACGGCCTCTTGTAATATTAACGACCACAACAAGAGGAGTCATCAGCACACTGAAAACCACAGATTGATATTTCGGGATGATCCCGTAACAGAACCAGATTTTATACGAGTATTTGGTATTTGGTAATAATATCACTCCAGACTATAACATATGTATGTATGTATGTAAATAATTTACTATATTCGTGGAAATACTTAGCCGTGGATATTCTTCCATAAAATGGAGTACTATGCACGTTTAATGTTTGTAATAATCGGGTGATATTACGATTATGTATCACCTTGAAGGAATATATGAGACATACGGAAACCATAATCGTTTCGAAATTTCCACCTTTTTTTTCTTTCCGTGCAGCTTCAATGGCAATACCTTTTTGGTTTGGTTAATTGCCAACTACCGGTTTAGGTTGGCATTAGCTCTAGATCAGGGAAAGAGCAGAGCAATGGATTCTAAGAGTCTTTTCGAGTCTCAGTCTGACCGGGGGTACGGTTAGAGTAGATAGATAGGGATAGAGATGGAGTTACCGAATATCGCACCTTTCAGAATTATGCAAATTGGTGTTTGGGTTTGTTTGCTGCTCCTTCTTCTTCTTAGTCATCCATGTATATCTGTTGCTGCTGCTTCTTTTACTGATCTTCCTTTTGCTGCTCCTCCTTCCGCTTTTTTTGGTCACTTTTCACTCAATTGGCGCTGCTCTAATCTGTTGAACCATCTGCCATAGGCCGGACTGGACCCACGCATTAACAGTTAAATTCAAGACACGGCTCACATACACTCACACACAAGCGCACCTCCCACCAGAGAGAGAGAGTCCGCGAGCAAGAGAATTGTGAAGCGAGAGGAAGAGCACGACAGTTAGAGAGATAGAGAGAGAGAGAGAGAGAGAGAGTAACTAACGAAATCACAGAGAAGCGCCGTTGTAAACAAAACAAAAAAAAGTGTACACACACCTACAACAACACAGCCAGATGGTAGGGTATATCCAATGGGGAATACGTCTATCCAATGTTCGAGCTTTCAGTTAGCCAAAGACCGAAGACCGAAGACTGAAGACAGAAACTGTAAACTGTAAACCAAATGCAGAGGCAGTGAGATACACGACGGCACTGACTGCAAAGCCGAATCGTACGCGCTAAATGCAAAACGAGTTGTCTTGGCGCTCGCTCGGCGGCGACTGATCTGAAAGCAGCAGCGGCAGCGGCCCGCAGCTTGAGTTGCTTTTGGGATGCAGCCAGCAGCAGCCACCAGCCACCAGCAACAACACCAATAACTTTCGAATGAGCTTAAGAGCAGCAGCAGCAACAGCAGAAGCAGAAGCAGAGACAGCAGCGCAGGTAGCGGCAGCGACCGAACACGAATAAGAAGAAGCAGCAAGAAATGAAGGCATAGCTTCGGGAGTCGGTAGTCGGAACATTGGATACCCTTGCCAAGCAACTAGTGATCAGTTTTCGGTTACACCTGATCATTTTCTGGGAGATTTTGTAGTCGTTTCGTTTTGTGTTTAAAAACTCGAACGAACATAGTTTTTCTGAAGTTTTTGCTGGGATGACCTACATATGACAGCTATGTTACGAGTATATAGTAAGCTGCTTTCAATACGATTTAGCCAAGTATTTAAAAAAACCTTAAAACTATACACCGACCGATCTTAATCAGAAAAACTGATTTAATTTGTATTTTGTTAGCTGGGCACTACTGACTCTTCCCTTACATATGGTTAGGGTCTGTGGAAATTATTAGTCAGATGGCTAAAAAGCCGAGGGATTCGGTTGTTAATGCTGATCCTGTATGTACATATTAGCTCTATAATATAGAGTCTCTAGTCGATGTGTTGCATATGTACATCTGGTAAAAGCCATAATACCCTTACCAAGGGTATGAAAAATAAACTCAACTCAACTGACCAGTGGCGCTGCCGCTGCTGGCGTCGCCGCCGTCCGTCTACATTGTGGCTTTTTTCACGCCGAATTGATTTTCAGTTATTTACGCCAAATTTCGGTTTTGCTTCTCCGCACTCCTGTCTCCGATTACACGCTAACAGACACTCTCCCATGGAGATCTGTGTGTGTGTGTGCATGGACCTGGCAGGCGGCTAAGCCGCTCCTGTCTTCTGTCTACATCTATTCCAACCGGTCTCTGGTCGCAAGTTTTTAGACTGTGCCTTCCTGTCACAGCGTGGGGGCTCACCTGATCCGTAAAGTCACCCAAGTGCCGAATATCCTCCGTCTCGTGGTAGTCCTTGATTTCCTCGTGCGAGATGACCCGCTTGTCGTCCACCTGCCGCACCAGCCCATCCACGGGACGCGGGACCATGCGCTTTACCAGCTTTCCGCCGGACCCACTGTCCGGGCCGAAGGCCTCCTGCAGCTGGGCCAGCTGCGTCTCGTTCACAGCGCCCGCCTGCAAGGCTGCCACATCGATCAACTGGGCGTTCCCATCCAGATCATCGGGCAGGTCTAGATCGCGTTTCTGTGCAGAGAGAGAGAGAAGCAGCATCAGAAAACGGGATTGATGGGTGATAAGTACCCAGTAGCCACTCACCTCGGTTGTTTCCGTTTCCTGTTTGTCAGTGTCCTCGGTGGTGTTGGTGGACACAATGGGGCCGGAGTCCTCGATGACTTTGCCATCCTGCAGCTTCACCTGTCGCTTCACTCTCGTCTCGATCTGTCTAGTCGTGGTTAGCTCTGTCTTTCGCTTCGTTACCCACTCCTCTGCAATGAGCCAACGTTACGGTTAGAGCTTCTCGAATTTTGAACCGCTCCCAAAAGCAGACTACAGAAAGCTCCACCTGATTTTGGCTGGCTCAACCAACTAACTGCACGCAGGCAGGCAATCGATGCTTTTGCAGCCGATGCTTATACCCAGCTCAAGCTTTTCTCAATATTATTAAAGCACAAAGGACTTTGGTTGGTCAATTCCAGTTCTTTTTTGAGGCTGGCATTGCAACACACTCGTACCAGCCACGACTCCAACAGATGCCTCATTTGCATAAAGCCCATTTTGGACTTGCAACTTCTAACAATAGAAACGGGTGGATGGGTGTGGGGGGGGGCAGTTGGAAGGTGCAGGGTACTGAGACTGTAGCTGAAGCTGAAGCGCTTCAGCGATCTGCTGCCGCTTTTGAACTGCTCGCCCAATTACGTAACCAAGTCCAAGTTGGCCACAGTCTCGGTCTCAGTCTCAGTCTCTGTCCCAGTCTCACAGTCCGACTCCGTTCTCTGCCTAACTGTACTCGGTGTGTGCCTGTGTTGGGCAACCTGCACTCAGAGGTGGGCCAAGCTCTCTTCGAGCACGGACATCCGACAACTGGCAATGCACAGATTTCTGCTCTTTTATTTTTTCTTTCCTTTTTTTGTTTTTTTTTTTTGTTTTTTTGTTGCATCGAAATGGAAACTAAGCAGAGTTTTTCTTCGCTGTTTTTTTTGAATCGACAGCGTCTAGGCTCTCTCTGTCTCCAGCTCCGTCTATGACTGCATTGAAACTGCTGGACCATTAAAGGTCGCTTATATAATATATCTGCATTCGCAGCAGCAGCAGAAACCGAGACGAGACGTCTCGTTGTCTGGCGTCTAGGGGGGAGAGTCCGGAGTCCGTCTCGCGACTCGCTTCGAATTCGAGCCCGCAATCGCCCATCCGCTGGGCAGTCGATCGAACAAGGTGCAGTCAAGTCTGCCTACAGAGGGAGGCCCAAGCAGAGCTGCAGGTACAGTAGACCAGTCACAGGGAAGCTGGCAAATTTATTGAATAAATCGCTATAGAAAATGATCCCCTAGACATTTCTAGGTTAGTCTTTGAAGCATTGAGGAGTCTTTTCTTGCGATTTAGTAAATGCAAAAAGTAATCAAAATTCTATATGGAACATCTGGGCAGGAGTTGTGCTTTAAATTTAAAGAAAAACTCTGTGGATAGACGTAAAGACGATATTCAATTTTAGTTCTGGAAGAAGGTTTTCATGGTACCAAATATTGTTACTAAAAAAACCTCTGTTTGAATTCTTATTCCGCAACTAACTTCTGAATCAGCCCTATTTATAGGTTGCAATAGAACAGATTAATTGAATTATATGTCATGGATTGAGAGTTTGAGATTGCATATCTATCTATTTGGCCCGCAAATATTTTGCAATATGTCGTTCGACCTGAGCCTCGTCATGCCTTAGGTTTTACTGTGGCAAGACCTGGTCTGGTCCCTTAGCTCCGCAGTCTATTGTTCGTATATTTGCCTGACCAGACTGTTTATCTTTATCATTTGTGCATATATATCCGCATTGTTGCAACTGCTGCTGCTGCGGCTGCTGCTTCTCTGCCTTCCCCGCAGAGCACTCGGGCACTTCATAAATAGCAACAACTTTGGCAGCAACAACTACAGCAATCACAATTAAGCAAACAACGGGAAGGGAAGGGAAGGGAAGGGAAGGAGGAGCAGGAGGTGGTTGTGGTGCAGCAGGTTGAGGCAGAGGCGGCGGAGGCGGCGGTGGCGGTGACGATGGCGGAGACGGTTGAGGTGGATCGGCTGCAATAGCATTCTCGGTTTCGATTTCATTGTTCGATGCAAGCCAAGCCGATTCGATTCGATTCGATCGATTGCGCTTGGGCTTGGGCTGACGCTAATGTTAATTTATGTTGCATGGCCACGCCCACTTAACAAGCCTCGATTTCTGCCATCGATTTGGCCATAGCCAAAGATTGCATTACATCTGAGGCTCCCCGCTGATCTGCTGCACACATTTGGACTAATTGTGGTATCGATTATGGCCAGGCCAACGGTTTCTGTCAACCGATTTCCTCCCAATCTCGATTTTCATCTGTTCCACTCCCTCTTCCCCCTCTCCTTTGGAGCGCAGCACTTGTTAGGAGCAACTGGCTTCCACATCATTTGAGGGGAGGACAAAGGGGTGGAGTAGGAGGTGTTGTGAGTGTTGTGAGTGGTGCACCAATTATTGTAATTTTTTTCCATAATTTTTTCAACCATCTCCGTTTGCATATGGCCAAATGTCGTCGGGCGCTTGTCAGGCTGCCTCTCAGTTGATTTTTAATGATTTGCTAACGTGGGAAATCTGTGTGAAGTTGAGAGCTGTGCATTTTCGCTGGATCACTTTTGTGGGCTCGGTTGCCAGTGTTGGCGGGGTTTTACTCTGCCCGCTTTTCCATGCATTTGCATTTTGTTGTTGACTGCTTGTTATTTCTAATTTTTACACGTTTTTCACTCTTGCTCGGCTCGGGTCGGCTCGGCTCGGCTCATACATTTTAGAGACTGCTGCCAGTAATCGACTTATTGTTGCAGTTGCAGTTGCAGTGGCAGTCGGAGGCACTGCTTCTGCTGGCAGTGGCGCCTTTGTGTTATGTTAATCACATAATTAAATCAAGACTTTCTATAATTTCCGCAAGTGGCGCCCCGGAGGGCTGCAACTGGGAAAGTGAGTAAGGAGCGAAAGGAATTTGGGATTAGCTGCATTATGACTATGGGAATGCATCCACAAGGGATTTCTCTTACATGCATCCACTTTCATTTCCCATCCATAGGTGTTCCCTCTGGCTTTCTGGGGACTCCCCGTCGCACTTTAAGCGACAAAGATTTAGTTCGAATTTCGATCTAATTGAGTTTATTCCCTGCTGATTCTGGTTACTCGCGAATGAGTAATTCATTTATAATGCAGATCGTAGATCTCGACTATTCAGATCTGATCTCTGTCTGTTCTGTTAAGTCCCTCCCCTCGTTCCAGCCGTGATCTCACGCGCGGGACTCTTTCTTTTCAACTGCTGATCGGTTAATGCTTAATGCTAAAGGCATCGACAGTTCGATGATGTCACTTGATTGGCTCACCCATTGGATCATTCCAATTGCTCTGATTGACTGGGTTAAAGCGAGGCTGCTTGTACTGGGCCTGAGATCACCGCAATCGGAATGATTTGATAGATCGGTGTATTCCCCCAGAATAGGAATGATCTGATAAATAGGGGACTACTCACAAGGATCTGGCAGATCAATATATCCCGGCAGGATATCAGGCATATCCCCTTTGATAAAGTCAAGGAACAAACTCCAGAGTATTCCCCCATGTGTATGTATGTATGTGGACCCCTACTCACCTTCTTTGGTTATAGCTTCTGTATCGCAATTGGTTGCCGCTGCCTCGTTGCTCTCCTCTTCATCTTTGGGTTCGAATTCGACCTGCGAAGTATCAATGTCGTAGAAATTAACGCGGGTCACGTGACGCACGTAGTCAGTGGTGGTGGTTGTAGCTGTGGTTGGGGTTGGAGTTGGATTGGTGGTTGGTTGGTGGTTAGTGTATCTGGCGGCGGGCGGTAATGATAGCTTTGGCCCTGGCAAGGCCTGCGCCTGCCCCTGCCCCTGCGCCTGGACACGAAGGACAAGTGCGATTGGTGGCTGATGCAAAAAGGTCGAAAAGGATCCCTGGTGTCCGCATCCGCATCCGTATCCGTGGGAGCGCGGTGGCTTGGGCACGGCATTTGCGGGCTGTAACTGCGGCTGCCGCTCCGTCTGCAAGCGAACCGGCACCCATCGTCCCTGGGCAAAGGCGGGCAGTGCTGCTGCTGGCTGATGGCTATGACTATGACTAGGTCGGAGGGGACGGGACGGCTGCTGTTGATGTTGATGTTGATGGTGCTGGTGCTGGTGCTCGCGCTGCCGCTGGAGGTAGCTGGCCGGGATGGCCGGGATGGCCGTGTCCCCCGTAGAGGCCGACGAGGACTCATCGCTGCTGCGATCGGATGAATCCGGGGGAAGAGGAGGATCGTGCTTGGGTGGTGCCTGTGCCTGTGCTTGGACGTGGGCGTGACTGCTGCTGCTGCTGCGGCTGCAAGTGCATGGCGACAGTAGGAGGATCACCACCATTCGATCATCTGGCGGTGGCTGTGACGGTGGCTGTGCGCTTTCTGCTGACTACATCTGCTTCTGCTCCAGCTCCTGCTCCTGCTCCAGCTGCTAATCGTGCTGCTGCTGCTGCTGCTGTTGCTGCTGCCTCTGTCCCTGCCCGTGTCCGTGTCCGGCGCCAGCTCTGGTCCTAGCTGCCCTTGCCACAGCCAGTGGCCACCCGATTAGTATTGCTTGTGCACTTGCTCTGCAGCGGATCCGGTTCTCATTGGGCACACAAGACATCTCAGAGCGCGACTCCCCGGCTGCAGCTCCAGCCTTCAAAAGTGACCAAAACTCTTCCGACTGTGAGCCAAATCGAAGCGAAATGAGAACAAAATTTAGCCATAAATTATGGACACACCAAATACTCGCATAGATAGTGAGAGAAACAGAGAGAGGTTGCCAGAAAGGGCTACAGATACATCGGTCTCTCCCGCTTTAGTCATTCCCGGTGGGCGTTAAACCTGCGAAGCGTAAAGCCCCGAACTGGCCATGTGCAGCTGAGCGAGTGGAGTGCCACGAGCTCATTAAGCCAGGCGAATTAACTGGATCTGGGGTTGAAGCTGGCAATGGGAATGGGACTGGTACTTGCTTTGGAGCCTCCTTAGCGGATGGAAACAACGAACCTCAGAGAACGAAACACGTCAAAGCGCAAAGAGCAGAGTTCAGGGCGGTGAAATGGACAAAACAAACCTCATCTCAGTTGGGTTTAACTATGCCCAAAATACGGTCAAAGGTCAGACAGAGTAGCTACAACTATTTGCAACCAGAGACCCTCCGGTGTGTGACTCTATTTCAGCTCGATTTCAGCTCTATTTCAAATATTTCAGCCAAAGAAAACTGTGTAAACAGAACATCGAATTGACTTGTTCCATTGGATACCATTAAAGCTTCTCGAGAAGGCACTGTAGCTCTCAGCGGAAAAGTTACTTCGGGTAAATCATAGGAAAAACTGCCAAATCCTGCCCTAACTAATTGAATCTGACACTCAAACGATGCATAAATGTTTCAAAGAATCTTTTGTAGGGGCTCCACAAATTGTGGATTCAAATCGTAAAGTTAATTCCATTTTCAGTGATCTGAATGAACTTTTTTAGTTCTTAAACAAACCCAAACGAAAATTCAATGTTTGGCTGCTGAACATTTTTCAAAGAACTTCATCAAAGTTTCCCTCTTATATATTTTTTTAATAATTTTTTTTAATATAAATTTATATTCATATTATCTGTTTGAGTTGCTTCATGGTAATCATTATGCCCTAGAAAATTGAAGGCAATTGATTGGTTTGACTTTTCCGTGATCGTACGATCTAAAACTATTCCGATTTAATTCGCAAATCTTCTAGAAATCTCCTTCCACAATTAAAAAAATTGTTCATCCTTAAGATGCGATTCTCATACATATTTATGTACATGCATGTACGTATGTATGTACATACATATGTGATATTTTCCGGCAACATCAGACAACACTCAATGACCTACATTATCGCTTCAAACTATCCAAATGCTTCCCAAGTTTGGGTAATCGCTTATCTGTTGGTTTGGCACCGATCGACCGACAGACATCCAATGGCTTCCTATGGACATGGCACAGGGACGGAGACGGACATCTCCCACAGCTTTGCCACTAATTTGCTGTTGTGCGAAAACGATTCTTGAATTGATAATTAGGCGGACGAACAATAAATCTGAAGAGCACCATTGTTGGTGGGTTTTTTTTCCGATTACTTGATTTGCTATTTTCGGTTTTTAGCGATCGATTGGGATGGTACGCCACCGGTGCTGGGGCTGGGGCCGGAGCCGGGACCGGCTTTGGCCATCAATAAGCGATCATTGAAGCCGCAAAACTGACGTCAGACGACAGACCGACACAACAACAATTAATTGTGACTGCAATTTGGCCATTTTTGTAATTGTTTCCGGTCAAAAGCGACTTGTTGTTGGTGGTTTTGTTGGTTTCATTTGCCGCAAAAAAAGATATGGTATGGGATATGGATAAAGCAACAACAATTGACAGAGAACAGAGAACAGAAATGAGGGAACAGAGAATATGGAAGAGAGGCTTTTCTGTGCTCTGTCGCCGCTTAAGGCGCTGGCTCCTCTTTTGTCGAAGGTGGAACTGGGAGTGGGGTTGGGATTGGGAGCTGTGTATGAGCTGGGAGCTGGTAGCTGGTCGCTGGGTCGCACCCAGCTATGAGTCAACAAATCTCACATGGAGCTTTTATACCCTTGTAGAAGGTATTCTCATTCTCCCCTCCCCCAAAGGCTTATTCATATTTATTCATACAGGAAAGGGTATCAAAACCAACGGTGCGCAAAGGTATTTGGTCTCTTTCGTCTGCTGGCTTGGAGTTGTGGCTGGGGAGCTGGAGATTTGTTAGAGTTTGGCAAAGTCTGACAATTCCGAATGCAATCGCGGTGCCTTTTACTTGACCCAAAAGCAGCAACAGTAACAACAGCGACAACTTCATGTGAGAATGCTTCAAGCTGAGACAAAGTTGGAGCCGAGCCCACAAGTCACGCACTGGTCAGCGACGAATAGGTATCCACACAGGCCCCCCCCCTCCCCACCCACCCCATTGTTGTTGCAGCTAATTCACGCCTTTTGGCCATACAAAGACATTGAATTGTGGACGCAGTCCAAAAAGAAAAACAAAGTTTCCTTTTAGAAGAGCGGGAAACAAAATCACAAATAGTTCAGACCGACCTGCTGCACACTCGCCGTCCAACATCACTCACTACCTACCCCCTACCCCCTACCACCTACCACATACCCAGTAAAATCAGCAGCTAAAAACAACAAGTAAACAAGTTGAAAGAGCAGAAGAGCGAGACAACAATAACAACAGTCGAAGCTCTTTCAAAAAGGCAGCCACACTTAACCACAAACTAACGGCGAACAGAGGGAGACAGGGATAGAAACAACAACAGTTGTGGGTGCTGGTGCTCTCCTCCCTCTAAAGCCCCCACCCCCCACCCCACGATCTACCACTTTGTCAGCCCGCCCGCCTGCTGGCTGCACGGTGTCGTCCACTTTGTGTGCAGGCTATGATTTGTTGCATGAGTGTGTTTCTCATGGCTGTTGCTGTTGCCGTTCCTATACCCTATCACAAGGTATAGTTGATGAACATACATATTGTATTCCTGATCAGCATCGATCGATCGATATATATGTATCTAATAGCGTATCTAGGTCTTTTGCAATTGCTGCTAAATCTGGAACCGGATGACCATAATACAAATCTCACGCATGTACAATATGAATGAGTATCAAGAGTATCAAAAGCTTCGGCTTGCCAAAGCGCTGTACTTCCTTTTCTGTTGTTATTTCTCTCGGACTTGGAACTTTTTAATGGTGGGAAAATATTTGCGCCTTATGGCCGCCAGGGTGTGTGGCAGGGGTGGGTGGAACTCCAATAGGAACTAGGAACATTAGGAATTTGATGGACTAACCATATTGCGTACACCACTCGATCGATATGCCCCTGCGTCGCGTGGGAAGGGGAAGGGGGATGGGAGGAAAATGTAGTACGAAATAAAAGTACAGAAAATATGCAGGTAAGAGAAACAGCAACAAATGTCACGACAGCAAAGCTAAGAAAAACGAAACGAAACGAAACGAAACGAGCAGCAGCAAAATACTTATTTAGAGCCAGAGGAGAGCAGGGAGTGCAGGGAGTGGGGAGTGGGGAGTGCAAGACTCGAGCTAATGATTAATTTTTTGCACGTACTAAAGCCAGAGCCATGTACGCGAGATAGAGCTGGCAGCTAGCGACGCACACACTCGCGCACACATGGATGGATGCCCTAAGCAATGGACAAAATGTGAATGGGTCGCACAAATCTCTCTAATTCTCTCGCCCTTAAACACACACGTCGCACAGAGATCAACCTGCGACAATCGCTCTCCTGCTCACTGGTATTCTGTGTGGATCCTCTGCTCTTGTCCCTCACAAAAGACAATAGGAAATGGATCTGTGCTTTTAGCCTGGCGCACGTACTCCTTGAAACACCCATCAAATACAACCTCTCTCTCTCTTTCTCACTCACTCTCCTTAGCTGTCTCATATTTTTCTCACCGTTCTCTCTGGGCACCAGCACACACGAACACACTCTTTGGCGCTGTCACACTTTGCACTTTGCCTTTGCCATTCAGGCCGAGGCAGCAGCAATAACAATTAGCAAACAAAAATTACAAAAAAAAAATAAAAATCCGCCAATTGTGCAAAAACAAATAGCAATAAATACGAGTAGGTATCGTATCGGTGGTGCACTGGTGCAATTTTGTTTTTCTAGTTCGAATTTAAACGTTATTAAATGTAGCGCAGCCCCACAACAAAATGCAAAAAAAAAAAAAAAAAAAACAGAAGAACAGCAGCAGAAGAGTCGGACCGAAACCCGAAAATCAAAAAATTAAAAACCGACGGTAAACAATCGCGCGGCGGAGCGCTGCTGAAGGAGAGCGCAAGCGCGAGTGCGAGTACGAGCGAGAGCTTCGATGGCGCGCCTACGACTGGGGTATGGCGGCAAGCTGCACCGTTAGTTTGTTACACCTGAACTGAAAAGTTTTTGGGCCCAAGCCGCCGCCGCCACCGCCGCCGCCAATCATTGTTTTTTTTCCCGCGACGCGAGAGCTTTGCCTTTGCCACCTTACACAAAAGTATCCAAGTATGTAGATGCATACATACATATGTACATAGATACAATATGTATGTGTGTGTGTGTGTGTGGTGGGTAAGGGGGTGGAATGGAGATATGCAGCATATGCAGCTACAGGTAAAGGGTACTTACCAGTTCATTTTGCTCGTCTTTGGCGCCAGCTTTTGATATGTTTGTCTTGCTCAGAGCCATAGCGTTAATGGTGCCACCACCAGCGGGAGCTTGGATCCACGCTTTGTTTGATTCTTTTTTTGTTTGCTTTGGATTTTGTTTGCAAGATTTTATCTTGTAACTCAGCTGCAATAAAGTAGTTATAGAGATGTACACCGAAAGCTTCTCAGCTGCATTGGATTGCGAGTGTGGCTTAGTCGAGTTTCAATCCAATTCGCGCCTGAAGTTGCGCCTGAAAGTATGCAGGGTTAACAAAGTTAATTCAGTATAGAATACAAGTTTTTTCATTAATATGTAGTATGATCATGAGCTATCGATAGCTTATAAACTTGCACTTAATCACAGAATGGACTATTTGCGATACCACGCAATAACATTACTAAAGCTATATGTAATAAATTTATTCATAGATAAATGGAAAATAGGTGCAAATTAATTATTTCTTGTTTTCGTAGGGAGCAAAATTTCTGTGTCCGGAAATATAGTAGTTTATTTAGAATATTCGAAATATTGAAATTCCCAGAACTGAAAATTGCGGGGAATTTTAAAAATAAAATAAAAATAAGTTTAAGCAATTAACTATGAGACATCAGAAAAATGCTATAGTTTCAATTAAAATATTAGTTTCTTTTTTATTCAGAAAAAAAAAATTTCGTAAATACATACTCGCTACGGCGGAAATAATAGCACCGTTTGATACAACAGTTTTTATTGTTTAAAAACATTCACTAACATATATAACATATTTTGCACTCTCCTCTCTCAGAGAAGTGTGCTTACTCTCTAAATCCTAACGGTTTTGAGCAAGATCCACCCTTAAAAACCGTCCACAGAGCTAAAAAAGTATCTTAGAAAAGGATGGATCAAGGATGACCAATGAATAACTTACAATAACATAAATTAAGTGCCCAAAGTCTGAGAAAAAATCCACTTTAGACTGCAAGCCATGGAGAAAACTGAATGCAGTATGCACAAAAGCACTGAAGTTGGCCCAAAGAAATACGGAGAAGCATCCTGTGGTCCGAAGAAAGCCAAATTGTTTTTTTTTTGTGGAAAGGGCTTCGATTATGTAAGACGACTACCCAATGCAGAATAGAACCCTTTGACTAGCATATAAAACCAATATACATACAGTGAAAAACATCATGGTATGGACATGCTTTTTGTACTATGGAGGTGTTCTAATACATGGCACAAATCGATGATGGATCAACATGTCAATGTTTATATATGAGAAAACAATAATGCTACCTTATATGGAATAGGCATGGCCGCTCTTTTGTGTCTTCTTTCAGGACAATGCTCCAAAACAGACAAACAAGGAAGCTCGAAACTGGTTCGAGAACAGTGGTTTAAATGTAATGTATTGGCCTGCTTAGTCCCCAGATATTTCTAATACAAAACCAAAGAATAAAATTTATCAGGGGTCTTATGCATCATTCGTGGAGCAATATTTCCCAGAAAGATGCGAAAATGAGGTGAACTTTAATGGCAAGACGCTGAGCCGAAGGCTTAAAAACAAAAAATGTATCATCAAATAAGATCAACCATTTCTCCAAATTGTTGCAATGGCTGTGATTTATTAAATATTTAATAATGCCATGTCATATATATCTGCATAAGCTCTGAGCCAATTACATTGAGTTTCCTGTCGAAAGGACGGGCTCCCACTACGAGGAGCAATTTTCTAGTCCCAATTTCTGTGGACACCTTCCACGGGGGCAGAAAATCCTTCTGGAAACGTATGTGTTTGCGGCATATTTAGTTCTTCCTTGGGCTCGATCTGAACTATTCTGCCTGTCGGACTGCTCAGCAGATCTGCTTCTTCTCTATCTCCTCCTTCGCTAAACTGACTTCTCATTTAGATAATTGCTGCTCTCGAACAACTGCTTTGAACTGGTGGTTGCTGCCCACTCGCTGTTTCGTCGCATAGTTTCGAGCGCATTTGGTCAAAATGAGTTTTCGTTTTTGGCTTTGAGGCCTGATGGCCAAAGCATTTGGAACGCCTTCAGCCGCAACACCACCACCACCGCCCGCCCCCGCCTGTTAATGAAACGTTCAAGCGTTCTTGCCACAGCAACAACTACAACAAAAGCAACAACGAAAGTAAAAACATAATAATATTGTTGACACACAAACAGTTTGAAGTCAACAAATCTACAAAATCGGAGGATTTTACGATGCCGAACACCGTGCGCCGATCGCCGATCGCCGCCAAGGCGATCCATCTACGTAGATCTCAAAATGGATTTGCATATGGATGTACATATGTACATATATATGTGTGTGTGTGTGTGTTCCAAATATATAGACATGTTCATGTATAGACATCGAAACCCATATATTCCGACATATATCAAATATTGATAGCTGCTCGAAATGACGAAATGAGCGAGTTATTTGCGTTTTTTTTTTACTTAACGTTTTTTTTTTTTCTTTTTCTTTCTTCGGCCCACACAGTGCCAGTATTTGCCATATGTATATTATAGAACTGTGATCTGCTGTATCTGTGTCGGCCTCAGCCCGTCTGTGTGTGTGTGAGTGCGGCAAACATAACGTCGTACATGGCATATGATGTAGAACTGACAGTTTGTCATACCCCAGCTACAGTATAACAGTGCTAAGTTGATTCGTCGAATAGATCTTGAATGAGTGGATTGGTATTCATTCATATAGATATGGTACATGAACGGTTAGATGAATGATTGGGTAGATCAGTTCAATAAAGAAGTGGGCATGATCCCCTAGAAGATGTGAATGAATTTATAGATCTATGAATGGGTCGATGGAGAAACGCATGGATGAATTGTTATTGCAGATGAACATGTACATGTACATAGCATAGGTATATGTCAATACTTAGTAGATATGTAAATTCATGAAGGGCGCTTTAATACGGTGAACAAATAGTTTGCGTATGGTTAATGATTATATGGAAGTGATTCCAAGACCAACTCTATTATGAGTAAATTTAGCAAACAAATTTTGTTATTTAACTAAGGTACAAAGTTCGATTGGCAAACGTTTTATTTAAACGATAATTCATTTTCATCAGACAGACCTCGTCGGTTTGCATACTGTTCCGAAGGAAAGGGATCCCTTTAGCAGTTAGAAAAGTATTCTTATAGAATATTCCTTGCCCGCATAATAATTTTAGAAAGTTCCTTTCCAGTATAATTCATCTTTCAGATTGGTTTAAAATTGTCCACCAAAAGAAGTAGTCTCCATAGAAAATGTTATCTCTGGATGAAATGGATTGTATACAATCAGCTATAAAGCTGATGAAGCTGTAATGAAACGTTTTCCTAAGCGAAGGCTTCACTGTAATCATATGCAAAACATTTAACGGCGACCTCTGCGAAAGCCACACAAAAATAATGAAAAAACCGAACAACGCGAAAGAGTCATCGTCATCGTCAAGTTAAATCGATTTCGTTTCGATCGGATTTGGGTTTATTCGATTGAATCGGCAGTACTGGCTGGATCACTGGCTTTTGGTCGTGTGTCCCCGAATATATCTAGATATGTATATACATATGTACGGATGTGTTCTAGTGAAATCTCGGTTCGGGCCGAGTTCGAGCAAATCCAGCACCGGGCACTGGGCACTGGGCACTAGGCAATGGACTTCATGAGATGATCTCTCTCGCAGATCACAGATCGAACACTTAACAAAAAGAAAAACAAACAAACAAACAAACAAACGCACATATGGAGTTTGGGACAGAGCGAAGCAGAGCGCGCACAGAGAGAGAGAGTGAGTGAGAGAGGGGAGAAGAGCCATGTAATTGGCCAAAAGACACATGAACGGGCAGCTGGGCAAACAGATGTTGCAAAAATGGCTAATGGGGCAGACAAGCATGTCCCGAAACGTAGACAGGAACACGCCCAGCGATGGGTAGCTCATCAAGGACACATCGATCGATTGTCAGTCCATCGAACATCGATAGATGAGTTATTCGGGATGTGGGGCGTGATCAGTTGATGACTATCTATCGCGGTTGACTATTTACACAATAATAACAATAACAGTTATAACAATGCAACACAAACAAACACACACTAACCGAAAGGGTAGGACGAGAGAGAGAGAGAGAGAGACAGTACTCAGAAGGAGCCGCGCGCACGTTTTTTGTTGTTGTCGTTTTTGTGTCCGCCCGTCGCGAGAGTACGCGGAGCAGCAGGCCAGGCCAAATGGTTTGTTGTAGTCCGCCTGTGCCAGATTCACAACTGATCTACCTGCTGCCATAGCCGTAGCTCCGTTGCCGTCTGTCGCCGCAAAATTGGCGATCGCGCGCGCTGCTCAGCCGCCGCTCCCTGCCCCTACCCCTACCCTAACCCCAGTTCCAGTCCCAGCCATAGCCCCAACCAGAGCCACAGCCCCACCGATCGGCGATCAGTATTTCCCATTCGCATTCACAACAAGCTAAGCCCCAGCTTTGTGGTCGGTACATCTGCTAGCCCGGCCAGCCACACAGCCACTTGGGCATTCATTCAAGCAACACAGACAGAGAGTGAGAACGGCAAAGAGAGCAGAGGCAGCGGGAGAGAGCGATTCCGAATCGAATCTGGCCAGGCCAGGCCAGCAGCCATGATGCGAATACCAGTATCGGGCAAGGTATGTTTATTCAAGGTGAAGCACTTCCGGTCCAACCAATCTTACTTCGGCTCTTCCTCCACCCTCTTTCGGAACATTTGTGTTTCGCATGCACACAAAAACGAAAGCGAAAGAAATGCATATGTGTACTACCTAAACGTACCTGTCTCACCTTACATTCATCAACTTTGGGATCGGGGCTTGCTGTTCTGTTCCCCAGATGAGCGCGGATCAATGAGAATGAGAGAGCAAAAGCGACAAAGCTACCCTAACGTTAGATAAGTACATCCCACAAGGCTTCACCTGGAATCAGTGATTGGACCGTAAGCCGCTTGGAAGGGTAACCAACATTCGGTGGTTTTGTTCGTGGCTTGCGACAATATTTGGTTCGAGCAACTTGTCGCTTGAAGGTTAGGCCCGATTGGAATGCTGGCCGGCTCAAAGCGTTGGCGGTTAGGCAACGCCAGAGAGTAACAGAGAGAGAGATAGTGAGTGACCTGCGCACACACCTACACTCAAGCGCACAGTAAACCTCTCATGTTGGCGTGTGTCTCATGACATTTCGCAGAATCGCTGGGAATATCGAAACTGCCCGCCAAACTGATAAACTGCTCAGGGAGGGGGACTGAACGGTGGGGTGAACGGAACTAGGAAATGCCTTTTGTCATTGGCACGCGCTACATGCACTGCTTGTCGCGAGGGGGCTGGGGAGGGGGGTTGTCGGAAGAGCAACAATAGATAATACTCTCGACCTGGTTTTTTCATGGAATTTTATTCTTTTTTATTGTTTTCATTTCTCATTAAGGTTTTTCTTTCTGGTGTGTGTGTGTGTGATGATGATGTTTGGCCGAACGAAAGGATTGGCTTCCACTCCAAAACAAACAAAAACTGATACGGGCGGGAGAGGATCGTGCTGAGGAGCGGAGCGCATCCCTTCGCGCACTCACTCCCTTCAAAATGAAAGTGTGATTGAGAGAGAGGGAAAGGATGAGTTTATGATGGATGATCTCTATCAGTCAGCTGATCCGTTCCAGTCCCTTTCGTTCTTTTCCTTTCCGTTTTAAGTTTTTTTTTTTACAGTAAGTAAGTACAATCATAACCTTAATCTCTACAGAATGTGCAATTATTGATCTTTTACAGTTTTCATTTATAATTGTTTTTATGTATTTTTGTTGTATGGATGCCTTTTTGTTAAGCTAAGGACAGCTGATAAAATGTGAAACGTACGAAGAATATTCATTAAACTTCGGAGAAATAAAAACCACTCTAGGACACGAATACAAAAATGTAATTTCTAATATGCATATGATTGATGATCTTCATCTTGATCAGATTTCTAAGGGTATGTAAGTAAGAGTTCGGTGATGCTTTAGAGAGATGCTGGTTTGGGCGATGACACTGTTTAACTTCTGCATTACGTTTAAACTAATTACATAAATTATGCTAGGATAGCGCGTGATTGTTAAAAAAGAGGACTACATAAATTAATTGGGCGCTTTGTCCCGTTTCTCTTGGTGATTCCCCCTCTACATTCTAGATTCGGATAGCAGGGCCCCGGACTCGAGAGGCCCACCGCCGATGTGTCGTGTAAATACGCAATTTTATATGCTTACTGGATGTTGTTTTCTTTGGAGTAGTGATTGTGGTTCTTTCTCTCGATTTAGCTCTTCCTTAAGTTCTGTTCTTTCCCCCCCAACCTGGCTAGTATCCAGGGGGGTCACCTGGCTGATTGCACCAGCTCTGCTTTTGGTTGCTACTCGTTACTGGATCAGTGTAAAATTTCATAGCGCGCCTTCACTCATCGCTCTACTAAATAATTGCTTCTCCCGTCATTCATTTGTCCCCGCTCGTGTTAGTCACCAAAGCCCTATCCGTTTGCTTCCTCCGTGTGTTCCTGCAACTGTTTCACTTGCTCCTGTAGTGGCTGGAACTCCGCTTATGCCTCTCATAACCTTTTCAGCATACGCTTCTTCTCCTTGAGCAACTTCTCCTTCTTCTTGTCCTGTAGCTTCTTGTCGAGGCCCGCATGCTTCTTAGTTGAGGGTCCGTCATCATCTTTGGCATCGCTCGCAGCCCCAACACCACACTTGGAGGGCTAAATTCAGACAGAATCGGTTGAGATCTAAGAGATCCATACAATCGAAAGGAAACACTTACCTGGGCATGGATCTCCGTCATCATGCGCGCCCGCTGTGAGTAGTCATCGTAGCGTTCGAGCAGCATCTTGCCAGCCTCCTCGTTAAGTGCAGACTCCGGATTGGGCACAATCAGCAGGCATTTGATGGTTAGCAGTATGTGTTTGATACCCAGATCCGGCTTCCAGTCCTTCTTCAGTGTGTTCACGCAAATCTCGCCGTTGCCTGCCACATTTGGATGAAAGATCTTTGTAAGGAAATAGGCTTTAGGCGGCGTTTGCGGGAAGTCTTTGCTCAGTGTCAGCTTGACGCGGAAGATGCCAACGGCGTACGGGGTGCCCGCTGGTCCGTCGATCAAGGCCTGTATATCGGTGACATCGCTCTCGTTTATCAGCACTTTAATGCCCTCCGGCGGCGTGGTCTCCATCTCTTGCAGCTCCCTCATCACCTGCCGTATCGTCTGCGGCGACAGGTTCTCCACATTGGAATACTGCTAAAAGTGGTACAGTTTTTCAATTGTTTTAGTTTGATTTTCAACCGTATATTGTGTATTGAATACATTACCGAACTCATGGCTTTTCCTGTGCCTAATGGATGCTGTGTAACAGAAAAGTGCGTGTATGTGTGTGTGGAGGTTTTTCAAGGTTTCGCAACCGAGCTATCCTGGGCCCACAGCTTGGAGACGCCAAAAGTGTTGCAATCGCTCTTCGCGCGGAGAAGACACCAATCTGCAATCTGGAGTGTGTGTTTGCTAGCGGCGCTTGGCGTGTTTTTTCACTTTTGCCAATTGGCGTCGTCGTTGGAGTGGAAAACTACTTGTGCTTTACTGTCTTCTGTCGTTTTTGTTTCTGCTTCGAATGGGATGGTTTGGTTGGGTTTGGGTTTCTTCTTCTGATTTCGCACGCTTTTCACTTTTATGCCTAATCGCAATAAAAATATTTTTGAGAGCCTACAATTTTGTTTTGCGACGGCTTTGAAATCGATTTGATCGCCTGCTTGTTGCTGTTGTTGTTGTCCTTCTTTTTTCGTCACATTTAAACAAATTCTGTCCAATTGCACACTTCACGCTCAACAACAACACGAAAACAGCTTCCATTTACAGAAACCCTCGTCGTATGGCTTGCGCTACACATCTGGCATGTTGAATCGACGAAACGTTTCGCGTAGAAACTTCTTGAGAAGCCGCGTTTAATGTTAAATCAATTACAAATATGCAAAAACTGGTATAATTCAGCAGAGCGCTTTGCCTGTCGACACTATTTTCTAAAATTAAAGCAAAATATGTTTTATTATTCGCATTGCGCCCTGTGAAGAGTGTACCATGAGTCAGCACAGCCTAAGCAAACAAGCAGCTCTCTACACTTCTTTCAGGAACACACACTAGGGTTGTCTCGCTCTGGCGCACGCATATGGGCGCATCACAGCTGCAGTTGAAGTTCACACTAATTTCAATGCTACTATTTTGCAGCAATATATTATTTAATTAAAAGAGAAAAATATGCAGTAACTTTCAAGAAAGCGGCAATAAATTTAATTCATTAATTGGCAGTTACTGAGAAAATAAATTGCACTGAATTGCAGGGGCGGTGGTTCAGTGTGACCGTTTGCCAGCACTGCAGCGCATTCCGCACACATTGTGCATTCTCCAACACTCCAGAGCTGAGCGAGATCTACTACATCCATCTCCATCCATTTCTTTTATTTAATTAGTTTTAATTTAGATTTCTAATTCTAATTTATTGAAACATTTTAATTTCTGTGCCCCGCATTCCGTTCGGCTCGCCTCGCTCCGGTCCGGTTTGTCCGTGTGAGCCCCCGCCCACCGACACCGACACAGAAACAGAGCCAACCAGTGCCCCCTCCGTTGTGTGTGCGTTGCTGACAAAATTGTGTGTGGAAAAAATGTCCAAGAATAAAATAAACACAACCTCGGCCACGGCGACGGGCGCCGAAACGAATCTAATCGAAGTGAAATCAAAGGTGACTACTCCCAGGGAAAAGAAAACTACGGTGTTGTCCCGCTGCCGTGCCGCTCCCAGTCTGGCTACTAATACTAATCGGTCGGGGTCAGGTCGATCAAGCGGCGACAGCGGTGGCATTGCTGATTCATGCGTGTAGAATTGGCTATGCAAACGGGTTGCCAGAGCTGTTGCCTCCAGAGATCAGCAGCTGCTGTTGGCAGAGCTACCTACCAGTGGCTGAAGCAACAGGCCGTGCAACAGTTGTTGCAGGGTGAAATTTTCATTGAAATTGCAAATCAAATCGCGCTGGAACACCTCTAATGGCCTTTCCATTTTCAGTTCGATGCCGAATTCCGACGCTGGAGCTTCAAGCGCAACGAGACGGAGCAGAGCTTCGACAAGTTTGCGGCACTTATCGAGCAGCTGCACAAGCTGGCGAACATACAGTTTCTTATACTCTACATCGATCCGCGTGACAATGATCTGCTGCCCATCAACAACGATGACAATTTCGGGCGAGCGCTCAAGACGGCACGACCCCTCCTGCGTGTGATAGTGCAACGCAAAGGTGAGAGCTAACCCTCTACGTCTGCTTTCGTGCAACACGAATTGCACTTTAAATCCGACCTGTTTTCCCTCCCAGATGATCTGAACGAGTACTCCGGCTTTGGGACGATGAAGCCGCGCAACCTGATTGGCAGCATACTACTCGGCCACACGCCGGTTAAGACCAAGGCGCCATCGATATCGAAGCCACACGACTTTCGCCAGGTGTCGGCCATCATTGATGTGGACATTGTGCCGGAGACGCATCGGAGGGTGCGCCTTCTGAAGCACGGCAGCGACAAACCGCTGGGATTCTACATACGCGACGGAACTTCTGTGCGGGTGACGTCCAGCGGCCTGGAGAAGCAGCCGGGCATTTTCATATCGCGCCTTGTGCCCGGCGGACTGGCCGAGAGCACCGGTCTGCTAGCCGTTAACGATGAGGTAATCGAGGTGAACGGCATCGAAGTGGCCGGCAAGACTCTGGACCAGGTCACCGACATGATGGTGGCCAACAGCTCCAATCTGATCATAACCGTCAAGCCGGCCAACCAGCGTACGCTCACGTCCACACACCGCGGCTCCTTCTCGCGCAACAGTCAGCTCTCGAGCGGATCGCATCACACGAACCACACGAACACCTCCGATGAGATTGAGCATGATGATCAGGATGATATAGTCGACCTAACAGGCGTCACGCTCGACGAGAGTCCCACGGGCACCTCCTCCACCGGCAGTCACAATAATCATCAGCCACAAACGACGCAGCAGTCATCATCACCGCCCTCGCATCACCATCAGGCAGCCTCCAATGCGTCCACGATAATGGCCAGCGATGTGAAAGATGGGGTCTTGCATTTGTAAGCCTCCCAGCAGCATAAGTACTCAGAGCCAGGCAGCGACTAAGGAACGGAAAGCGACGAGCGTCATTGGAATGCCCAAACAAACCCACTAACGAACCACACATTTGATGGAACCAGAGAACTGTTCAGGCCTGTGGGTACATCAGTGGAAGATCGAAAACTTTCCCCGCATCTCAATAGTATCCAGTCAATTAAGCGTAAAGTTCAATGAGAGATCCCGACAGGCCTGGCAGTCATACACATATACACATATATAAAATGTTTATATATGCAGCTACACGACTTTCCCCATACATTCCACAGAAACACACATATACACATGTTCATTTGCACGTTTTTGACTGCAGTTGTCCCCTGTTTTTATCTATTTTCCATTTCATATTTATATGTGTATTTAAATTTGTAGGATTTATCCGTCATGTTATTATTCATAGTCCCCCCCGATGATGTTGCATTAGATTAGAACGAGATAGCGATGGAGATTGAGACAGAGCAGTAGAGAGAGCATCAAATGCCGAAAAGAGAGAGACAGAGAGAGAGAGAGGGAGAAAATCACTTAAATGTCCAACGTTGATTGTACAATTCTGAAAATCTAATAATTATACACTAGCACACACACATCCACGAATAACTGGTATCCAAAACATTCCATTTTATGTACTTCGACAAACAAAAACTCCCCCAAAATGATTGAAACTCCATATTTAAAGCGTGGATTTCTTTTATTATTGGGTGCGTTTTGTGTTTGTGGAACCTATTTTTAGCAAGAGATTTCTGTAAAATCGTTTTTTGTATGTCTGCTTTAAACTTTTATTCCAGATTTGTTTTGTTTATTTTACTTAATAGAATTTTTTTATTATACTATTTTTTTTTGTAATTTTACACTCGTGTTTTGTCGTAATGTGTCCAATACTCGTTCAAGTTGTTTGTTTTTTTTTTTGTGTAAAGGAAACCAATTTGTCATCAACATCTAGTGTAACGCAAGGAGAGGAGAAATCGGGAAGATAAAGTTAAACAAACACCAACAGCGCCTTCGCCTTCAAGAGAGCAATTCGATACTTTTTATATATTTACAAGAAAATATATACTTACAATAATGATAACGCATCTATGCATGTTATACACGTATCTATCTAGATCTAATTGAGCTATGCACACACTGTATACGCTTTAGTCAAATCGAAGAAAAGACATTTATAAGCAGAGTTTCAGATCTGCTCGACTTGAAGTTAACAATCAACATAATAATTACTACTTATGAGACAGACCGGACAGGCATTACTACCAATACCTTAGATAACTGATCGATCCAACTCTATGCATAACATATTATACACAGATATAGATGGAATGATCTAGACTAGTGACAGCAGCGAATCTTAAACTATATCTAAATGCGTTTCCATATCCCTTAGCCTACACCCAACCCGAACCATAACCGGTCGCGTTCGGTAATCCCATAGAGTCCCCAATTCCTAAACTCCAAATCCCGCAAATCTCGCAAAGTATGTATATTCCAGCTGAACAACTGAAAGACAGAGAAGAAAAGTACGAAAGAAAAACTTATATTTTGATGTATGTATTATTATTTTTTAATAAATCTAAGAAATTGTAATCGAACTAAAAGCAATTTTATTATTCTAAATGGGGTAAGTAGGTGTTATGAGCACACATCTGAGCAGATGAATAGTTTCGTCTGGATTTAAGCGTTTTCTAGTTAAAATAGTCAATTTCTCCCTTATTACATCTTTTTGGATACATATTCTACTTGGAGCATTCCCATGCTCTAAAAATGAGGATGTTTTGAGCTGTCAGATCCCATGAAATGATTCAGAAGCGCATTTCTGGCTCCATCTAAGCTCACTTGTACGGGAATTGCTCCGATTGTTTAACAATATTTATATATAGGCTTATATTACTTGTCCGTAAGGGTATGATTGATTAAATATTGGTTTTTTAGTTAGGGCATGATATACACTAAACTTCCAAGACATATGAAACATCTAGATAAATGCAATTTGATACCATGTACCATGGGTAACATTCAATGCAAGACGGTGGAAGATTAGATGCGGATGGGGCTTGTGAGGAGCAGCTTGTTTAAACGTTGGCTTCCCCTGAATTGGGCGGATTGTTCAGGAGGCACTCCAAGATGGTGCGGGCCGTCGGCCGATCCTCGCTTAACCCATTGGTGCACAAGTAGAATATCTCGACGATGGTGTTGTAGGCGTCGCTAAGCTCGAAGGCCTCTGGCAGGGGTGGTCGTGTCCCATACGCAGACTCGAGGCTACTCAGCATTGGATCGGTCTCCTTGTCGTCGTCCGTCTCTAGCGAGCTGTTTACCACGACGCTGGAGTCGTCCCCAAGGCAGACAACGCTCTCATGACCTCCTTCGTCGCCATCGATGATATCATTCAGAGTATGCGGCGGCACGAGGGCCAATGTTTCGTAGATTACAAGGCCAAAACTGAAGATGTCAGCCTTGCTGTCAATTGTGTCCATTTGGTCAATAACCTCTGGTGCGCACCATAGACTGGTGCCTGTAAGGACAGTGTTAATTCATTTATTTTATGTTTTTGATTGTGTGCGACTTACCTACGTAGCGATAACCGGAATCGTCACTGCACTTCACCTCATTTTTCTCATCCAGGGGCAGAGAAACTCCAAAGTCGCAGAGTTTGCAAACCTCAAATTCGCCCTTCACGAGCACATTAAAAGACTTGATGTCACCGTGGAGCAACTTGGCCTCGGTGTGCAGATAGTCCAGCGCCTTGGCAATGTCCATCATCATTCTGAAGATGTGATTAGCGCCCAGCGGTCCCAGTTCCTCGTCGAATCGCTCTTCCAGTATCGAGCCCAGTGAGGTCTTGCACATCTCCAGAGCCAGGCTGTTGACACCATCGGACGTCTGGATCTCGCCGCGGAAACCCACAATGTTGGGATGACTTAGTTTTCTGGAAAGGTAATTGTAGCAAATTTAATATAAAAGGCTAATGGCTAACGGTGAATGTTCCCCGTTGATCATTGTGTGTGTGTAATACACAGCTACTCTGCGCGACGGCTTATTTGTGCATATTCGTGCATCCACGAATCCAAGGAATCGAAGGACACACCAAAATGCAGGCTCACGAGCACGTGCATGTGTGTTGAACACTAAATTGCGCCATGTCGCCAGAGTACCGTCAGAGTACCCACCGCAAGATCACTGCCTCATGGATAATGCGGTCGTTGAAACTAGAGTCCTTATTTGCCAGTGAACGCTTGGTGATGCGCTTGATTGCCCACGGTGAACGAGGAAGGCCGAGGCGGGGCGAGCGATCCAGGCGGTAAACGTTTACGCCGGTGCCATAGCCCAGGGTCTTCAGCATTGGTGATGGCGGTATGCGAATCGGTGTACTCAAGTTCTGTACGTTCTCCATATGCAATTTACGTAGCTTGCCCCGCGGCGTTTCCATCTTGATGCGTGGCTGCTGAGGTGCGACAAAATTTACGACGGAAAAAGGTTTAAATTGTTCTTTAGACGATTTCAGTAAAACGACGCGCAAAACGCAGTCAAACCAAAGGGGGCACTATCGATAGTATCGATATTTTGCTGCTAGCCTCTACTATCGATGGTTTTGAGACTATCATGATAGTATCGAGCTACAGTCGTTGCGCTTTTGATATGTAAAAATTTGTAAACAAATCGACAGGTGGCATCTAATTTTTACAATGGACAAGTTCCTAAAAGGTTTCAATGGTTTTTTAATAATTATTTGAGCCCGATACTATCACGATAGTATCAATTGTTTTTTTTCATAACATTCAAAACTATCGATGACTTATCTATGAATCGTTTCACACTCTAGTTTGAACTAAAAATACAGCATTGTGCGTGAGTGTCACAAATACAAAGACAGGGCTGATTTCCGCAGTTGGCAGCACTGTTGACGAAGAGTTGCTCTGAAGAAAAATACTGACAAATCAAATGCATCAAATATACCAATTACTGATTTGAATTAGTTTTATTATCGGGTCCATTATTAATATGCAGTTAAAATCCTAGACTTTTGCAAGAACATTCCATTTTAAAATATTTTTTACTGGATGTGAATCTTCTTCAAAGTGCTTTGCAGCACTCTTTTTTGCCGCCTTGTTCTGAATAGACGCGCGCACCTTTAACCGTTTCTATTTGAATTTAAATTCAAGTGGTTTTCCCATTTTGATTCTCCTGGATGGCGTGCTTGTAATTTCATGGTTTTGTATATAGGTACACAAGTTTATTCTCTAATACACTATTTTAATATTAATTTAGATAAAAAAAAACAAATGCATAACAAACATTTAACATATTTCTCATAATTATTTTCCCTCATCGATTTATCTTCTTTTTGTATTTCTAGTTTTCATCGTACAATATATGTATGTATGAATGTATGTACAATATACATATATGCATATGTATTTACTGTTTGCTAATTTTACTTGGCTCACTTTCAACGAATGTGCCTGCCAAAATCATTCTATACTTTACAGATCGATTCTGTGAGGAGGGGGAATCGGAACCGAATTCCGATTCCGGATACTCTTATAGCCTAGCAACATTAAACATCTATAAAAAATTTTCGTACAGTAAATTTAGTTTAGCTACGCCATATACGTACACATGTGTGTGTGTGTGTGTGTGAATGTACATATGTACATACATATATAGTTTTACAGAAATTTGTTTACATTTTAGTGTTGTATAGTTATGCATGTAGGTATGTTTGTATCTATGTACATATGTATGTATGTATGTAGTTGGTAACAGTCTTTTATCACGTTTAGTTTTGGTTATGCACATGCTGCAACATGCATAATGTATGGTACATACGTATATAATTATATATATATATATATATATAGTTTAATTATATTCCGATTTAGACTAATAATTGTTAATCCTTCACATCCACTTTCCAGCACTCTTCGGTGTGCGACTCTAAATTTGAAGTTAACCAACACTAGCTCTACACATCTGTGTGACTAACATCTACATGGTATATAACGGTTAAAACAACGAACAAACAAACAAGTATGTATGCCTGCCTGTGTAGGGCTGTGGGGGCTGTGGGGCCAAGTGGGCAGGGGAGGAGGGCGTGTGTGGCCGGCAGGCATTTGAAAAGTATTGTATGCACGTTGTCTCATGATCACTCATGGATGGGTTCAGTAGTGTTTGATGCTTCCAACTAGATTAAAACTATGTGTTTGCTCCATCATTTTGTTGAGCTTGCTGCCAAGACAGTGTTATCACATCATCGATGAAACCCTTCTCTTCAGTCGAGAGCCGATCCTCCTCTCTCCGCTCTCCTCTCCTCTGTCTTTGTCTTTGTCCTCCTGTCTGCCAGCGCCAGCCTGTCTGTCTATCTGTCTGTTTAAGACGGCCTCGCTTGATCCTGACCTTGATCCTGTTCCTGTTCCTGATCCTGTCTGTGTGGCTCGGAATCCGAATTCTTAGTTGCACTGGCATTGCTGGCCTTGTTCTGTAGCTGCACCTCGTACTCGCTCTTGATGTTCACAAACAGTTCACTTTGCTTCTGATGCTCCTGCTGCAGTGTCAAAATTAATATCATTATCGACTAGGCTCTCATCAGAGGTGGGTGAGTCGCAGAGTGTGAGCCCACTTACCATGATCTCATCGAAACGCTGATTCGCATGAGGCAGCTCGTATCGATTGCCCTGGTCCCGTAGATTTCTGGCTACATTCAGCTGATGGGACAGCTTGCGTCCAATCTGGTCCAGGGACGTGTTCAGCACATGCTCGATTTCTGCCAGGATGGAGAGAAGTGTCGGGTGTCAGGTGTCAGTATATACATTTCCGGATCCATCCGGGAATATCCTGGAAAATAAGCTCACCTGTGCTGGGCATAAAGCGACGCTTTGCCATCTTAACATCCTCCTGTTCCGGTAGGGCTGAGCTGCTCCTCTTCTGGGAGGTTCCCAGTGGATTCGGGTCGGGTGTGAGCTGCATCTGGCAGAGATTGCATTGGGAGAGGGAGTCGCCACGTACGTGGCAGGTGCATTCTGGAAGGGAGCTTGGTGACTTTACTGCCGAGCTTTGAACGCCACGCAGATGCTTAGCTGCCGTCACATTGACCACGCTGATGCTCTTTGAAATTGAGGACTTTACGGAGGCAGCTTCTGGCGGAACCAGAGCCAAAGGTGGGGTCTTGGAGCTGCCTTGACCGTGGCGAGATTCCAACAAAACTGAGGCGTGGCCCAGGAAGGAGCTGTGATGCGGACGCGAATGATGCTGATGCTGCTGCTGTTGCGGATAGGAGTCACCGAACTCGAAAATGCTGCGACCGCCATCATCTTCGTCATCGTCTTCGTCGTCGTCGTCCTCCTCATCCTCATCGTCGTCGTCGCCATTCAGCTGAGACGGGTCCTCGTTGGACTTCTGCAAATTCTGGATGAGTCGCAGTACGGCCTTCTCCAGCAGCGCCGGATGCTCAGAGGCGGGCACATCGATGGTGGACTGCGGAATCTGCGTGTTGATGATCACCGAAAACTTCTTCTTCATCTCCTGAACGCGCCGCTTGCCTTCCTCATCGTCCAGCAATGTGTTGACGCAGACGAACGAATGCACCTTGTTGGTCTCCTTGTCGATCTCCAGGTAACCCTTGGACTGCAGGTAAATGATGTTGCCATTCCGGGTGAACAGACGGTACGTGGACTCACCATACGAGCTGTTACAGTCGTACACTGAAAGAGATTAGAGGATTGGGGTTGCGATTAGCTCGGACCAGCTGCAGCAGAGATCACTTGAGAGATCAAGGAGAGAGATGATGCTTACTCTGTCTCAGGGCCACGATCACCCAGCGTACGTCGTCATTGTGCATGAAGGTGAAGGGACTCAGGTTGCGCACCTCGTCTGTCATATAGCCCGCTACAATGCCGATTCGCTGATCGCAGTCGATGATTCGTCCGTCTATCAGGTGGCGAGTGCGATACTCCAGCGAATTGGCATCGATCAGCCGGCTGGCTATCTTCGGCGGACGGATGATCCGAGCACAGGCAGTCAGAACCTAAAGGATTGAAGGAACGATATCAGTGATCAGTGATCATGGACTGACTCCCGGAGAGATGGTCAAAACTTACAATGTCGTTGCCGCTGATCGTGTGCAGCGGAATGACATCGTCACGACCTCGCGTCCTCCGAATCAGCTGCAAGCTCGAGCTGAAGGTACTCGAGCGCACACCACGAGGCGCATCATCGCTCCGTCGGAAGCAGCCATCGATCTTCACCACCTCATAGGCTGTGGGCTCCGAACGGGGCCCCGCACGAGCCAATCTACAGAAATTCAAAGACGTTCAGACTGCAGTCCACGAAGCGATCCATAGATCAGTGATCATAGTGATCAGTGATAAACATACCGCACGCGAAAGCTGCGCCTGTCCTCGCGCAGTTTGCGATCGATGTAGTCCTCCTCGGACTTGCTGCGCAATCGCGGCTCTCCATCCGCTTCCGAGTCTGCGGCGTGAACATCGAAGAGATTCTCCAGCTCTGTGGGGATCAACTGCTGTTTGAGCATGTTCTGGTCCTCAGGATGGGTAATCTGCATGATGCTCTGGCCGTACAGGTCCGTCTGACAATGCCCCAGGTGCTGCTCGATGCTCGACGAGATCAGCAGTATGTGGCCATGGCAGGTAACGGTAAGGAAGAAGCTGTCCAGCATGCTCATCAGGGTATCCGTGATCTGGGGCCGCTGATGCTGTAACGTCCTGCCGAAGGCTATAGAAAATCCCCATTAGTTTTGCTATCGATGGATCATCGATCCTATTGAGCATTGACTTACCGTGCTTCAGCCGCAGTCCGTGGGCAGCAAAGCGCAGCACGGCTGTCTTGTCCACACGTCTCGGGGACTCTGCCACATGGGGTACCATCGTGGAGAGCTCCTGAATTGAGCCATTGAGTTTGTCGCGGCGGTTCTTTTCGGCCCGGTTGCGTGCCTCCCGGCCGCTTTAATGGAAACAAAGGGAGAGGGGTGTTAAATATGTAACGTAGCTTCCAAACGGTAACTAATCTATTTGTCATTGGGGTAGGTGCTGACTGGAGTTTCACAACAGTGAGTATGTCAAGAATGGAGTTCGTTAATGAGAATGAAACCAGCTGGAAGCTTGAGCTGAGGCATATGTGCCTCAAAACTGAGATGCTAGGAGGGGAGCTCTACACTGAAACAGAGCTGGGGGGTGAAGAGCGAGAAAGCGGAATAAAGAGAGAGTAAGCAAAACCCACCCTTAACTGCTAAGCTACTCTGCGTAGGTGTGATAGAGAGACAGAGGGAGAGAGTTCGCGAGGCTGGGGAGTCATCCAATGAAAATGGTTTTCTTCAGTGTGTCTATAATCCGGTTGATGGACGGACGGAAAGGCGGACATGCCTATGATCGGCTGCTGATGTATGTACTATATGCATGTAAATATATGTAACCACCATATATAAGTATAGCTACACATGTATAAGAGAATCCAAAGACTCATCAAAGGTGACATTTGCCGTCATCCAGACTGAACAAACCAATCGAGCCAACGATCTATTCCCCCCCTTCAGAGCGGGCATGACATTGTATCAATCAAAGCACACTCGAAAGCTTAACCGGCTCGCCTGTCTGCTGGCCGTCCATCGCATATACATACATACATACATACATACATATGTACATAGGGCGAATGCATGGCTCATGAATTGGCATTTGGTTGGGAGTTACGCAGTCGCAAATATTTCATGGCATGTACTACATATACATACATATATACTTGCCGGCTAGACGACCACATGGTACCCGACTCCCTCAGTCTATCAATAATCAATAATCAGCAAAGGCTGGCTTCCGTCCGGGCAGGGGTGTGCTGGGGGGCGGGTGCCACTGGAGGCGATCTAAGTGCAATGATCACGTACGATTTGGTTGCGATCGGTTCGGATCGATTCGATTGGCGCCATCGTCTTGAACTCTATTCTTTGGCTACCACTTTTGATTACATAAAGTTCTCTCTCCGTCCGGCTACCCCTTGGATGAGTAATATATACGGAAATGTGAGAGCATTGCGTTCGATTAGCAATTGCTGGCACATTGTTGCGTTCCCTCCGCTCAGACCCAGACCCAGACCCAGGCCCAGGCCCGCACTGATGTAATTTATTTTAGAACGCAATTGCAAAACAAGTTCGCAAACTACGAGTGCACACACAACACGGCGCCACGAAGTGCAGGAGTAATGTAAACAAAATCATAGGCGAGTGCAAGTAGTGCAGGTATTGTAGATATTTCGACTTTGGGATACCCGCTAATTTGCATCTGTGGTCTTTCTCAAGGTAAGGCCGCTTTACTTTTGGAAAATAATCCTTCACTCTACAGTGTACTGCTCGGTACTCAGTTTTGCTATATACGAGTGTACGAGTGTATGCAGTTTTATAATTTATATGTAACTTATAGAGTTTCAGTTTCCTTGTATCATAACAAGTGCGGATGCAGTAAAAACAAATGGATGTGGACTTATTTCAGTGGGATATCACAGGACTAAAAGTCATGTTGCTCCCACTTTAATAGTCACTGGGAAAAAGGGGCGCCATAGCGAACAAGATTGTGGCTGTTACAAATATTTACACGAATTTAATATATACATTTGTTTTAGCTGTGGCAGGACAGACATATGTGCACAGAAAACATAGATAGACATATGTGTACATACATACAAATATCGACTCTTTTGCACACATATAAACGAAGGATATATATGTACATATGAGTAACCCCCCTGTGGAGTACTCCATGAGTACTGGGTCCCCGAACACTAACTCACTTAAACTCGCACTAATTGAGAACATGGAGGGAGCATCGATGAACATATTGCACTCCAATGAAGTGCGAATATTCCGTGCCGTTTTGGGGGCAAAACTTAGCTAAAGCGTCTTAATAATCCCCCCTTATTAAGCTAAAATAATATGGGGGGGCACTCAAAGTCCTCAAGATGTTATCGGTAGATAATTAATCCGCCGCAAGACTCTACGCGTGCCGTTTACAAGAACTATTCACACGATGAGCAAAATGCGCAAGGCAGTCATAAAAATAGATAAATTCGGTGCACTCGAATGAAGTGCACTTTGCCAATTAGGACGGAATTAAGGCTAAAAGACCCCCTCGGAGAACTACCATCTTGCCGCGATGAGGGGGCTTAGTAAGCGTAAGGAACCCAAGAGCTTTACTGGCGGTAGCGTAATGCTGCCAGAAGGGCCACCCAAGCCAGGCAGGTCTTGGGGAGCGCCGAAGCAAAAAGTAGTTCACCCTGGCGGTAGGGATAAAACGCATCCGTTATGGGGGAATGTCCAGTAACGAAGAACCAGTTAAGGTGCAGGGAGTCGGAGACCCAGTACCGGCGGTGATTGGGGGTGCGAGCGCAGGCCCCCCGGCGTCGATATCCTGTGACTGCAGGAAACCCGAGATGGCAGTGGAGTGCTTGGCTGCCAAATCGTGTAATGCCACAAGCAACAGAAGGATCCGCAGGCAGAAAGGGACGATAGAGGATCTGGAACCGGGAACCACAGACGGAAGCTTCGTCTTCACTGGTCCCTCAGTGTCAGAGGCAGAGTTGGCTACCGCCTTCTCTCGACTCGGATACAGCGAGGAGCCGCAGAAGGCGGAGCCACAAGTCACGGCTCCCAATATCCAGGTCGACTCGGGTCCACTACCTGTGACGGATGAGAAGACGGAGGCTTACGCAAACGGCTGTCGGGATACAGGGCATCGGCAAAATACCTCCGCGGTATTAGCCAAAGACCCCCCGATACGCTGACGGCGAGGGAAAGGAGCCTCAAGAAGAAGCACGAGCAAAACGTGCGGAGGTACGAGCGGCTTAACGGAGTCGCTCCTACCAACGGAGACAAAGCCCCCCAAGCGCACACGCGGCGGTGACTGAGGACCCCAAACCGTCGACTTCAGCGTCAGCATCAGCTGGCACGAGACGAAGGTGGACCAACCCTCAACGTCATCGTCTGCGAACGCGCGAGGGAGAAAGGGGAAAAAGTTGTCCGGGAAGCAGAGGGGAAGACCACACCTCTGACGCAGAACACGGCGAGTGCCAAGGCACCACCAACGCCCTCTGTACAGAAGGCACCGGTGGAACCGACTGGTCGAGAGCCAAGGTTCAAGCGACAGAGAACGGACATCCACAAAAGCTTCCGAGTCGAAGAAGGCGAAACCAGAGGACATTCTGGCCAGCCTAGGATCGCCAGCCGAGCTGCAGGTAGCCATTATCGACCAAAGTCACCCAGAGGGGAAGATATCGGACGTAAATTGGCTGAAGGCAGAATCGGAGATCCTGACCGCCATGAAGGATGCCATTGTGCGCGCAGATAACCCGTTTGTCTGCGAGTTCAAGGGTATCAAGTGGTATAAGGGAGCCAAAGCAGTGGCCTGTGGCAATGCAGAAACTCTTGAGTTTCTCAAAACCACGGTCCAAGGTTTTGGTGAACTTTGGCAGGAGCGGCACTCCGCGTGGTCCCGACGGATCAGATTCCCAGGAGAACGATCATGAAGGTGTGGATTCCTCCCCCGATTAAGGCGGATGAGGACACACTCGTTCTGATCAAGGCGCAGAACCGGATCCTGGAGACATCGGACTGGACCATCACAAGAGCGATAGCGCGAGACAAGGGGAACGGCAAGGAACTCTGGATCAGCATTGGTCAAGAAAGCCTGGCCAAACTCCTTGCAACGGACTGCCGCATATCCTTTGGTATGGGCACCCTGGCGGTAGCAGTACCGCGACACCCCAGGTCCGCTGAACAGCATGAAGGTGGTGCAGATTAACTGCATCACTCAAGTGTACCATCGGCGGACCTGCTGCGGTTTATGGAGGAGAAGGCGGTGGACGTGGCCCTCATCCAAGAGCCCTGGATCGTAAGTGAACGGGTTCGGGGACTGAACGGTCGCGGATACCGCCTTCTCACGCCACACCCGCGGGTAAGCCAAGAACCTGTATCGTGGTAAGGAACGAGCTTAATGTTCTGTTTTCTTCCGGGTACAGCACTCCGGACCTAACGGTGGCACTATGTGAGAGGGAGGACGGGAAAAACCTATACCTAGCCTCTGCATACCTGCCGTACGAAGAGAAGACCCACCCTCGGAGGATGTCAGGGCCCTGATCCACCAAGCGCGGAGGGAGGGACTTGATATTGTCTTAGGCTGTGACGCGAATGCCCATCACTCCCTCTGGGAAGTACGGGACAAATTCTAGAGGAGAGTCGCTGTTTGAGTACATTCTGTCCACAAATCTTGTTGTGTGCAACCGGGGAGACCACCCCACCTTTCGCAACAGGAACCGTGCAGAAGTTATAGATATAACACTGGCCTCGAATAGCGACTCCCTTACCATCGATGACTGGCACGTGTCCAGTGAGTGTTCCTTTTTGGACCACTACAGGATAGTGTACAGCATCAAATGGAACAAGGAGAGGCCCAAGGCCTACCGCAACCTCAAGCGGACAGACTGGAACCGCTTCTCCGCAACCGTACAGAAGGTGCTGCCTAACCCACCGGAAGGGGATAATTCAAACGGAAGCACTAGAGAAAGCTACGCAGACAGTCACTAATGCTCTACAGATGGCGTTTCTCAAATCCTGCCCGATCAGCCGACCCCCAAAGTCCAATCACAACCCGTGGTGGACACGGGAGTTGAGCGAAGTCAGAAAGGAATCGAGGAAACTCTTCAATAAAGCAAAAGTGACAAACACACAGGAAAGTTGGGACGAGTATCGCCGCAGCTTCAATACCTACAAAAACACCTGTAGGAGGGCGAAAAGGGAATCATGGGCAGCCTTCTGCGATGCCATAGATGGTACCACTGAGGCCTCAAGGCTTCGACGCGTACTGTCGAAGGCACCCACCACACCAGGCCTGCTCCGCAGCCAGGACGGTACCTTCGCAGAGAGCAGCCAAGAATCCCTGGAGCTCCTCATGAGTACTCACTTCCCGGGTTGCTCAGATGTCACCGGTGACGAATCCAACGCCACCAACGACACTGAGGATCATCCAGGAGAGGAAATCGAGGATCTCATACGAAATATAATGGCACCAGACAAGATTATCTGGGCCATTAAATCATTCAGTCCCTACAAGTCACCGGGACCGGATGATATCCGACCAGCCATGCTGCAAGCAACTTGCCTGCACCTACTACCATGGCTGAAGAAAATATTCGAAGGATGCCTCCTAACTGGGTACGTCCCCCATGGGTGGAGGGAGGTGAGAGTGGTCTTCATCCCCAGGCCGGGAAGATAAACCACATCTCCCCAAAGGACTACAGACCCATCAGTCTGTCGTCATTTTTGCTTAAAACGATGGAGCGACTGATGGATCTATATATAAGAACCAAGCTAGACAAACAAGTGTTCAGTGGAGCTCAGCACGCCTACCTCAAAGGTAGATCAGTTGAGACCGCACTACACGAAGTTGTTGGGCATATCGAAAGGAGTCTAAGCTATAAGGAATATGCCTTGGCGGCCTTTCTAGATATAGAAGGGGCCTTCAACAACGTCAGGATCGAGTCAATAACGGCCGCACTGGCCAAGATTGGCACACACCCGACGGTAACCGGATGGCTAGACAGTGTTCTCAGAAGCAGAACGATAAGCGCCAATCTAGGCTCCTCCTCGTCAAGAAAGACGGTCACACGAGGTACTCCGCAAGGGGGAGTTATATCCCCTCTACTGTGGAACCTGGTCCTCAACGACCTCCTTCTTCAGCTGGGGAGGAGCGGATATAAGGTTACGGCCTATGCAGACGATTTAGTAATACTGGTAACGGGTAAATTTCTGCCCACAATCAGTGACCTTCTGGAATCTGCACTGGCCACTACCGCCAGCTGGGCACACCAGAACGGTTTGGGGGTCAATCCTCAAAAAACAGAACTGGTGCTGTTCTCACGAAGATATAAGATACCGAGTTTCAAACTACCAGCAATCGGTGGAACGACACTCGAAGCTATCGAGCGAAGCCAAGTATCTTGGTGTCATCCTTGACTCCAAACTCTCCTGGAAGAGAAACACGGAGGAAAGGAAGAAAAGGCAATGGCAGCTTTCTACACCTGTAGGAAGACTTTTGGACGAACATGGGGCTTACAGCCGCACATCATCCAATGGATGTATACAGCGGTAATAAGACCCATCCTGACATACGGAGGCATGGTATGGTGGGAAGCGGTTAACACCAAATCCCACCTGGAGAACCTCCGTAAAGTCCAACGGACAGCATGCCTTGGGGTCACCGGATCTCTCAAATCCACCCCACAGGCAGCTCTGGACACCATGTTAGGCCTGGAACCGATAGACCTTCATCTTAAGTGCAAGGCTGAGACAAGTGCCGCTAGGCTATTAGCCGCGCACTTCTTCAAGCCATCGCCTTATGGCCACGCCACTATACTCCATATGGAAGATAGTGGAACGGCCAGGTGGAGTGACTACTGTGTCTCAGAGTTCTCATGGAAAAGAAACTTTAAAGGACACATACCGGATAGGGAGGAATGGAAGAGTAACACTGTCCTGGGGCAGAACGAGCTCTCCATTTTCACCGACGGGTCAAAGACGGCCGAAGGGACAGGAGCTGGAATCTTCTCCGAAGAACTAGCAACCAACATATCCCTAAGACTACCAGACTGGTGCAGTGTATTCCAGGCGGAGATATATGCAGTATGGCAAGCGGCAAAGTTGGTATACACCTTGGAGATACCTCCGAGGAACATAGCAATCTGCGTTGACAGTCAAGCTGCCATCAAAGCCCTGGTATCCTGCAAGACCACAAGCAGACTCGTACGTGATACGGTGGACGCACTAAACCAGATCAGCGCGCACTCAATCACACTCACGTGGGTTCCGGGTCACACCGACATAGCGGGCAACGAGAGTGCGGACGAGTGTGCCAGAAATGGATCGGCCAAGCCAATGGCGGACGCAGTCAGCGACATAAGGAGACCACTACGAGACATCATCTCGCAGATGATGGGCCGAGCCAGAACGAGATCGGACAGGAGGTGGAACACCACACCAAACTGTGAGATCTCTCGCTCGCTCTGGCCCCACTACGACCTTAAACGCACCAAGACTCTCCTAAGCTTCAGGAAGAGTCGGGTGCGAACACTGACGGGAGTTATAACGGGGCACTGTGTCATCGGCCGCATGGCCACAAGGTACAGACTGCCCCACCATGACTTCTGCCGCAGCTGCGGGGACGAGGAGGAAATAGAGAGCATCCAGCACCTTCTCTGCAACTGTCCTGCACTCATGGGGAGACGTCACCGAATACTCGGTGGAGCCTTCTACGAAGACCTGGACAGCCTGGCAAACATGCCTCTGGAGAAATTGGTGCTCTTTATAGAGGCCTCGGGATGGTTCGCGAAACCTCCCTAGGCACCGGACAATATCCCGTGACGAGTGTGGGCATCACAATGGGCAGACTTGCCTCCGAGTGACCTCGACTTCAGTCGAGCAGCCCTATAAACCTAACCTAACCTAAGGCTAAAAGAGTTGCAAAGGAGATCAGAAAATGCAATTTGAGACATCAGACTAAGCTCATTGTAAGAAGTTTTGCGTATAGAAAAACGTAAAGTTTGTGATTAACATAAACACGGGAACGCTTGTGGCAACCACGGGAAATTGTCTTTTTTTTCATTCTGGCTCTTTACTCTTCAAGTACCGGGTATACCAATATGTACAGTTGTGTTCAATGAAATAGTAGTGCCGCACCTCACTACTTTCAAAACTCTTTTTGAGATATTTCTAGTCCTTCAAATTGAACAAGTGACACCTTTGCGGAATGCCTGGAAGGTAAGCATTGGAAACTCGAAGAAACCCCCTTACATTTGCATTCCATCTTCTTGTTTTTCATGACTTTAGACAACTACCCATGATATCTGCTGTTCAATGAAATAGTAGTGCTGGGTTAAATTTATTTTTAAAAATGAAAAAAACAAAGCAAATTAATTTAAATAAGTCACCATATCAAATAATTTGATAAAAGAAAGTTTTTTACATAGCGGTTTTGATTTGATTGAAGCGTTGAAGAAATCATTGCTCGGTCGAGAAGAGGAGACTTAAGATTTAGACTAAAAACTTAAGGCAGGAGGCATAATGGGGTTGAAAACTAAGTTGTATGCGCTCTCACAATTGTGTTTAATGAATTAACTATAAAAAGTAGACTGAAAATCGATTTTGTATTCGAAAAACATATTTTTTAGAGGATGGTCGGCGATGGTCATAGGCAAGACCATGCCTTCAATATCCTCAAAAATTATGAAAAAAATGTTTAATCGCTCTGTCAGTGATGTGATTTCATGGGTATTCGGCTTATGTCATGTAAAACAAAAAGATGGAACTCAAATGTGTGGATATTTCTTTGGTTTTCTAATGCTTACAGTCTGTTTTATTTAAAAAGGTACCATTTGTTCAATTTGGATAGCTGGAAGTGTCTCAAAGAGTGTTTTGAAAGTGATGAGGTGCGGCACTGCTATTTCATTGAACACAGCTGTACGTTGAAGGCAGATGGCTCTTAAGGGTTCTATAGATTTTAGGCTACACATTGCGTATGGGAGAATTGAAATTGTTTTGCATTCTCTTCTCATCGATTTGGATATTTCAAATAGTTGAGTTTGCTTTTATTGTAAATAAAATATGAGCTTAAAGGGGAAAATGTGTCATTTGTATTCGAGCTTTAAAAAACACTCGACTGGAATAGCTCTGTATCAGCGTTGGGAACACTTCTATAATTTTGTGAGAGTTTTAGTTTTTAGTTTTCGCATTCTCAGCCCCATGTCTGGGGCGTGGAATCGTGTGTATTTTCTTTTTTGCATTATTGGGCAGTCTCTTTTGAACTTTTCGCATGTGCGTCTGGCTGGGCTGGCGCAAATCAGCTGGCGATGAATATTAGTAAGTCTCGGAGCTATGGGATCAGCTGGGAGCCAGGACGTGCCCACCGCTGCTCTCAGTCATTATGTAAGCCAATAAGAGCATTATTAATATACATATCTACTGTTCTTTCGAATTGGATTTGCCGCAGTGCCTTTGTTGGTATCCAACCACGCAGCAGGATTAAATCTACCGGCTACACCCTGCAATAAATCAGGTGCACTTGTTGTTGCGCCGGTGTTAGTGGTTCTAGTGCGGGACAAGTGGTCAGTTAATGTGGATTTTGGGCACTCGATGTGCCAGCTTTTCAGCTGATTGCAAGTTCTATTCCGTGTGTGCATGGCATTGTGCATGAGTATGTACATACATATGTTGTATGTGTGTGCCATACTCATCAGAATATTCTGTGTGTGTGTGTGCGTTTGTGTTATTGTTTACACAACTTGTTGCATTTTTGCGCTGAATGGCAAAGCGAGACAGAGCTACGCCAACTGTTCGTTCGGTCTCTCTTACTGTTGTTTGCTGCCTGTTGCTACAATGTAAGCGATAACTGTACTGACTCTCGCCGCACTCCCGCTCTCTCTCTCTCTCTCTCTCTCGCTCACTGTTGAGCTGCAATACACTGCACTGCGACCTTGAAACCATGCAGAATCAGGGGCATGGGATGGGAAATACAGCAGTGAGACAGGGACGGCGATGCAAACTCATCGAAACGCATGGGATTTCGGATAAGTCAAGCAGTGCAACGGTAAGCGTACGAGTGCAGCAGCAGCCAGAGCAAATATGTGCATATGAGTGCAAATAGAAATATTGCAAAGTAAATGAGGAAACAAATTCCATATTCTGTTTATGGTCTGTCAATCAATGGAGTGGGCTGCCTGCCTGCCGGAGGGATTCGTGGCTGCCCGTTAGGAGGGGCAGCTACACGCGTGTGCAGCTCTTTTCTGGCCGCAAATTGGCCAAAATGATGAATGAGCTGAGAATGAGAATCCGAATGTGGTCGCGGGTTGTCCTGAGTACGAAAATAAATCAGGGAACAAAACAGATTTTGATAAAAATATAGCGACCCCCCGGAATCGGCACCATGGGCGAGGCCTAATCAGCCGCAGAGAGGTGGGTCACGCCGCCACAAGTGTGTCTCGAGCTAGGGAGGGAGGCCGACGGAGAATGTCAACGACGTCAGCAGCTAATTGAGAAGGGCAATCTTCAATCAGACCAGACACTCGACGGGTGGCGTGGAAGGAGGGAGGTGCGTGGCAGATATGAATGGTAAACAAATTGGCGCCTGCGTCTCGGCCACGGGTTGACTCCGTCTCAATTTTCACAGTGGGGGGGAGTCGTAGAGAGTCGTAGAATGGGGCATCGTAGCATCGGAGGATCGAAGAGTGTTAAAGGGCGTGGGGGGGGGGGGTTGCTGGATCTGTGGGTAAGAATGGTAAGGAAAATGGAGGATTGGTGGACTCACCTATTTGACAGCTGGAACATCTCCATCATGGTCTCGTGTGGATGCGGGTGTGGATGTTGATGCAAATGCTGGTGCTGGTGCTGCGGATGGTGGTGCGAGTGCGGGTGCGGGTGCTGGTGCGGATGCTGGTGCGGATGCGGCGCTGGCATATGTGGATACTGATGATGCAGCGGATGCAGGTGTGTCGTATGAGCGCCAAAGGATCCGGGTCCTGGTCCCGTTCCCGTTCCCGTTGCGGAACTGCCATCTGCAGCCGGGCCGTAGCCGCCATAGCGACCAACGGCGGCTCTGACTCCAGATCCCGCTCCGGATGAGCTGTACGGCGAATTCGGATACCACATATTCGGATAGAAGCTAGGCGAGGCCGCTCCGTGCGGACCGTGCGACAGGCCCGGGGAATGTGCATAGGGATGCCGGCGGCCGCCCCCGCTTGAGCTCGAGCCCGCCGGCGATCCTCCAGGGGTACCCGGCATTCCCATTCCGGACACTGGACTGGCCGGCGATCGGTAGTTGAAGTGGTACACTGAACTCGATGGCGGACGCAGCATCAGTTCGCAGTTGGAAGGCGTTGGCGACTGGAAGTAGCTGTTCGCTGCACTCCCGCTGCCGCTCGCCCCGTAGTCGGAGCCCAGCACCGAGCTGTCGTTCTCGTCCGGATAGCTGTCGTCCAGTTCGTTGCTGCCATCGGCATCGCCATCTATATCGTCGTCCCTAACCGCACCGACACCGACACCGACACTTTCGCTTTTCTGGTTTGTTCTGCCGGCTGTTTGCGGTTGCAGTTCTAGTTCCAGTTCCAGTTCCGGAGCTGGAGCTGCAGCTGGATCAGGCTCCGCATCGCCGGCATCTGTGTCGGGATCCCAGTCAATGGCGCTGGGATCGTATTCGGCCAGGTTACAATCGGTTTTGCCCAGCGAGAGGAGGTCGGTGTCAAAGACGGAGCCAGCTCCGCTGCCAATGCCGCTTTCAGTTCCAAAATCAGTTCTGCTAACAGTTCCGCGCGTGGAACCAGCTCGCGTTGTCGGCGCTGGTGGCTCGTCAAAGTAGGGAATGTCTTGCTTGAGATCTTCCACGTCCTGACTCTGACTCGTGGTGGAGTTTCTGCTCCGGCTCGTCCCCTCCATTTTCACCAGCTGAAACGGATAGATAAAGATAGATACAGACATGGAGACATGGAGAGAGAGCAAGAGCAAGAGATCGAGAGATGAGAGTTAAATCATTGGTGGCGGGGGCTTGACCTGTCAATTACTCAATCAAATAATTCGATTGTTGATTATTAAACTGTTGTTGCTGTTGTTCCAGTATTCGTATTTGTTTTTTTCTCGTTTGTTTCCATTTCCATTCGTTTTCGAAACTATTTTTGAAATTAAAAATAGACCGAAGAAATGAAACTAAAAAGAAGTCCAATTGGACGTTCCTGAACTTTTTTATGATCGAACTCGTAAAATTCTAGCGGCGGCAATAAACGACTGTGAGTCATGGGCGGCGGGGGAGGGTACCGTGAAGGGCGCCAGTGTGTGACAAAAAAGTAAAAGTCAAAGAACTAGTGAAGCATAAATACACACATATACATATATTGTTGGTTATTTATATGCGACTCTTGTCCTAGTGCCGCCTATAAATAATACTCAAACTACAGACCCGAGTATATAAATAATATATGTACATATGTACAACATCGAGCCAGGGACACACATATATCAGCGTTTTCATGGCAGATCTTTGAACTATATTTACTCCTCGCTTTGTCCATTCCATTTCCTTTGTCACACATATTTCTTGCTTCATTGTTTGATCGGGGGAGGGATTGGCCGTGTTATACTTTGGTTCTCTCTCTCTCGAATTCTCGACCATCAACAGCTACCCTAACCCTGGAAAATGGGAATTATTCACTACCCTATTACTCATGAAAAAATCCTATCCCCAGCAATAATTGTCTCACATACTTTATAATCTAATTAATATAATTTTCCATTGATGCACTACAGAGTGTCTGTAAGGGTATGTGGCTGGAAAAAGTGCGGACAGTACGGACAGTGCGGACAGTACGGGAGACAGTCATATCACTCATTTGTGTAAATAGATGCATTCTCCCATTGATTGGCCATATCCCCCTGCGCTTCCATCGGTTTTCTCTGTCGCATTCCAGCTATCAGTCACCCCCACCCCCTACGCCTTCTTTGGGAATTGCACCGCCTTTACCTTGCAATTGCAATCTTGGAAGAAGTACAAGTATCTGGGACTGGGGACAGTGTGGACTGAGCAAATACGGAACCCCAACAAATACTTGACAAGAAAGTAACTAATATGCAATTCGAGTGTTCCTATTTTTAATTGATTATCATACCCTTTTCAAGTACAGACATATATTGTATTTGCTTCCCACTATGCTGTAGTTCAAGTTCTGTATTTTTGTACAAGCGAAAGGATCGAAAATCTGATTTGGTGTATGGTATTTTTGTACTCTTCATTTTACACGCAAATCAACTTTATGTTAAATGTTTAACAGGCTTCAACAATTAATCAAAAACCTGTAATGTCCACAATTATTTGAGATATGCATATATAACTAAATTTAGAACTTAATTTTGTATGTGGACATTTTGGAAGTTACCTCATGTATTTCTTCTAACCTCAATGAAAAAATAATGAAGTGTTTTAGGCAGCAATGAATAATTGCGATCTATTTTCGAACTTATGTATGTATTGCCCGTGGATTCAGATTCAGTCACCAAAAATTATACATGTGAATTGATTCCATTTCCGTGACAGACAGACATTCTTCGGACAGACATTGTCAAACCAAGCAGATGAGATGAGATCCGCTCTAGGTACATACATACATACATACATAGCGGGTATCCCCCGGTCGAAATACTCGACTGTAGCGCGCTTATTTATTTTCTCTAGTCTCATACTTTGTTTTGTAATTGTTCTCGAGTGCATGGCAAATAGTAGGGGTAGAGAGGAGACAAGACACAGACATGTCAATTGCTGCCAAGATCGCTAGACGGCGTTTAGCATGGCTTAAAATCTAAGCAATTAAAGGGTTAGCAACATAGTATAGCGCGTCTCAGAGGATACTCTCACAGAATCCCCCTGATTGGATGCATCGTAAATAAAAGCTATTTCCCTTGACTCCCTTCAAATACCATTCAGAACTGTTAAGCGATGTGTAGTCTTGCTTATCCTTATAGATGATACAGAAATATGCGATTACATGTCATCCCATAGGCGAGCATAGGCGAAGAAACGTTGCCGGTTCCGCTTTATTAGGCCTCAAGCTAGCTGTGTAATTTAGATATGATATTTATACGGTCGGGTCGGGTGAGTGTGTGTGTGTGTGTGTTGGGAAATTATAATCTTCGTATTTAACATGAATATGGCATTTGATAACCGGCCAGTGTCGACAACGACGACTCCGACGACTCCGACTTGTTTGCTCTTCTCGATTGTTTGTGTTTGGGCCAATGACCATGGCCAGACACCCACAAATTTGTTTTTGTTGATTTGCAAGAGCCACGCATTTATTGTGTGGGGTATGGCTGAATTTTTGAGTACGAGTATAAGGTTTAAGGAATTTAACTGCTATCTGTAAATACATAGAGAAGTGCACCCACAGTGCCCATCTGCCTCAGAGGAAGGGGTCAGCTGTTCTAGCCCCTAGAATTCGAGTTGGGATACCCGATGGAGAGCAGCCAAGAGATCTGGTATTGAATAAAATGCATATGTACATATGTATGTGTGTGTGTATGTACATAGATCCCACTGAAGGTTAAACCGTCACAATGGACGCCAAGCCAAACTTGCTGATATGTAGGAGAGTTGGATGGGAGTGCTTTCACAACGTGAAGAGGGGAGCTAACGTGTAGATCTAACGGTTTCAGTGGCTGTCGCCACCTTTTTCTCCCCATTCCATTGCCCATTGCCCATTGCCCATAGCCAGTTCCCCTCTGCCCTCTGCCCTCTGGGTACTCCTCACTGACGTTCAGCCTTGAGCCCAACATACATAAATCAATCATTAAATATTTACGTCCAACACTAACGGTAACAATAACAACAACCATAACAATCAAATAAAAGCGAAAAAGAGATGGAGCGACGTTTGGAGAGAAGCAAAAATCAATTTCACTTACATATTTTGCGCTGTTTCTTCGTGTTCTGCATGAAGCGAGCGTTCGAAAGCTTTTTCCTGCTCTCACTCTGCTCTCTCTCTGCTGTGCTCTGCTCTGCTGTGTTTTTGGGGCTGCAAGCTTTCTCCTCCCGCTCAATCTCTCGCGCGCTCTGTCCGTGTGGTTTGTTTATTTCGATGGCGCACTGCCTCTGCCCCCGCTCCGCTCCGCTCCGCTCCTTTTCGCTGTCTCTGGTGGGCAGACAAGACTGTCCGTCTCGCTCTGTCTGCCTCCAGTGGGGGGATTTCGGAGTGAAGTGGCGCGGCCAGGAGTGGTTTGCCTGCTAGCGTCAGTGGCAGGGGGTGTTGGGAGGGCGGTGGGGGGGGTGGGTGGTATTAGCAATTTATATATTTTGTATTACTTTGTTGTTGTACTGATAGCTCTGTTGTGCAGTTGCAATTACGGTTGTTATCTTTTCGGGCACACTTGCTGTACGTTTTATTAAGTCGGTTTTTCTTGCTGTCCCTATTTTTGGTTCTTTGTACTTAAATTTGCGTGCATTTTAATTTTTCAAAATTTTGAAAAAAAAAAAATGAACAACAACAGAAAAACAGTAACTGGCAGAATTATACTTTAAGTATTTTGTTTGTTTGTTGTATTGTCTCTTCTGGTACTTTCCCCTTTTCGGCGTTTTTTGGTTGCTGTTTACTGGTGGTGCATTCATTGTCCACTCCACTGGTTACAGTATTTCAGTTAACTAGGTTTGCTGTGAATACATTTTCAATTTGCTAGTTTTCTGGTCATTGGAAGTGGAATTTTGTCCATTTTCCTGCATTACACTCTGTAGTATATTTTTGGCGGACGGGAATTGGGAGTAGGTTTTCAGTTACATTTTTAACGTGTAGCTGCTTTTTTTTTTTTTGCTTTTTCACACTTTTTATAATTTGTATATATGTATGTATATTTTATTTATATTTTTGTTGTTTAAATATTTGTACAGCTGGTGGTAGTTTTTGGTGTTGGATTTGTTGCGGTTGTTTTCGCACCAAGCTTCCAGCAAGTGTTCAATGATTGTTGCTAAAGAAAAGAAGCGCGTTAAAAAAGAATTTTTTATTTAATGATTATTTTGTTCCGTTTTTTGTTGACTTTATTATGTATTATGGCATGTTCACACACGAGCACTGAAATAACAAGGAAAACAAAAAAAACTTCGATGCAGAGAAAACATTTTTAAATAGATTTTTAAGTGCATTTAAAATGGAATTTTCATGTGCTTTTTTTTTGCGTTTATTTGATTAGAAATAATATAATTCCCTACACATGTTTGTAAGTACATATATGCGCTTGATGAAAAATTAGAACATTTGTATATTAAATAATTGAATTTATTTAATTTAATTTCAATTGGAACAAAAAATATTTGCGGGTCGGGAGAGACTTCGCCTCCCTTTTGATTTGTGTGGGTTTCTTTAAAATTGATTAAAATGTAATTTGGATGTTGCTGCGGCTTGCGTCTGTTTTTTTTTGCTAATTAAATAAATACTTTAATTTATATACATATTGCATGTACACACGAACACACATATTTAAATTTGTGTTTCGAAAAAGCCAACACGGGTAAGAAACAACAAAAAATGTTTTGGTTGATCGAACTGGGGCTGTCACCTGTTGCTTTGTTGCTTTGTTGCTTTGTTCCTCTGTTGCTGCTGCTAAATGCTTCAAAAATTCGTTTTTGTATTTTATATTTCATTGTTTTGTGGCTCGCGTGAAGCTTTTTACGAAAATATAAACCGGTTGGAGTCGCGTCGCAGTTAACACCATTCCCAGAGGTGTGGGGAGAGGTGTGTGTAGGGGCCATTGCAGGCGCTACGTCAGTTAATAAGTACCACCAGATTGGCTTGCAGGAAAATTCTCACACCTGAGAGAATCTCACAGAGGGCAATCACGAATATGGATTAAATCCATACATATCTATGTATAGTTCGAGTTTGTAGAGTACCTATCGCTTGACTGTATTTGGATGTAGTACAACACTGTCTGGCTGTGTGAATTAAACTCAAGTGGCGCTTGCCATTCCAAATCAAATACGAGTGTACCCATCTCCTTTGGGGGATAAGACTATTTGCTTCTTTTTGCTTAACTTCTGGTTCCTGGAAAAAGCTCACACAGACAGCACGCACTTCTGCACACACACACACACACACACCCATAAACATATATGTATATGTACTATATATGTATGTATGTACTACTATATGTATGCATGAGTGGAGCAAGGACAACTGAATCATGAGCCACTGATGTTTTCGCAGCGGGAGGCGCCTAGTGTGGGTGGGCGTGTGCCGAGCTCTGGAGACGACAGTCTGCGTGTGGGTGTTTGTTCGTCCAAGTGCGTGTGTCTGTTCTAGTGCCACAGTGAGACCTCTCCCACTGACTAAAGTCGCTTAAAATTTTAGTTTCCTTCATTGGTTGACTGCATGGAGGTGGCACTGTGCTTAGTTGGTGCCTGTTTGTTTGTCCTGCTTGGTCGGAGACATGGCACGCACGCCGGAAAAATCTTTGTGAATATTTCCAATTGCTATTGTTTGTGCTGCGGTTGACAGGCGACACACACGACCAGCCATTCAGCCATTCCATGCAGCACTAGCTTGCACCCATCGTCCACACCCACCTCCGCGCCACCCACATGCTGCACTGTCTCTGTATCTGTATCTGTTTCTGTCTCACTCGCAGAGGTCCGCATCTGGGGGACCGGGTCAATCACCCGACTGCGGGCAGTAATTGCCACGAAACAACAACAAAATTAAAATGTAATGTAAAAAAAAACCTTTTCTGTTCTCCCTGTCTCACTCTGCGATTCGATCTCTTTCTCCCCACATATTTCACTCCCTCCCTCGCACTCTCCCTCCCTCTCCGCCCATCGCCGTGTGTGTGCTTTTGCACTCGGTATATTTGCATTTCAGACGCGACGTAGAAAAAAAATTAAAATAAATTCAAGTGCTTCGTTCAAAAAAAAAAAAAAAAAAAAAAAAAAAAAAAAATTGAGACAGTAAGAGAACAACAAAAATGTTGGCGAGCAAAAGGCAAAAAAGCAATTTAGCAGTGAAGGGAGGGCCGGGCAAAGAGAGGCGGAGGGTCGGTAGTGTGTTGAGGGATTATCAAAAAGAATAACAAAAGCGAGAGCAGAGCACGAAACGACAGCGAGAGCACAAAATAAATAAATTATATAATTTGCCTTGACGTTTGCTGAACCCCATCCCCATGCCCCCCTAGCCCCCTCTCCCAGCCCGGCGACATCCCCACCCCACCCCCCCTCCATTGTCGGTTTGTTGACATTTCTAATAGTTGAAGTTACATCAAATCATCACCCCGCCCCCCGCTCGCTGCTATCCACGACGCCCCCCGTTCTATGGGATTAGATTTAGTTTGAACTGTGGGGCGTATACGCAATATTGCGTATACGACGCTTTGGCGCTCGCTCTCTCTCTCTCTCTCTCTCTCTCTGTCTTGGTTGATGGTTGATTTATAAATAGCGGAACAATTGACAAAATAGATCATCCGGAGAGGATCAGGGGGGGGGGGTTGGGGTGGTCTGCGGGTGGATCTGGATATGAGGAATCTCATTAATGGGTTCATCTCTTCAATTTCATCTTCAATTTAATTGAATGTGATACAGGTTCTGAGGCTATACGATTACACAAAAAAAGATACATATTGCGGCACGCGTAGCCCTCCCCACGCCCAGCAGCACGTCCTGTTAGCTAGCGAAAGGAATTACGCGCCATTCCCCAAAACAGCAAAAATCACACACAGCGCACAGACACAGACAGAGACGAAAACCATTCACCAGCTTCTCCGCTACGCTCCACTCCGCTCCGCTCCTCTCCCACTCTCCCACCGTTATCTCTTTTTCTTCCCGTCCCATCCACTTCTGCCTGAGAGTCGGTGTCAACTGGCTGCTCACTCTCTTGATTTCTTTCGCTCTCGCCTGCAGAGTCTGTCTTTGCCGCCTGCCTCGACCTGGTCTAGTGCTGACGCTGACGTCGACCACTGTTTTTGCTAACATTGGGGGACATCAGGTGGTGGCTGGCCAAAAATAGTAGCACACCCGAGGGGGGGGGGGAACTGGGAGAGCAGGCGAGAAATAGAGCGGCAGAGAGAGGCGACCCAGAACGTGGTCATTTGAGGTTTCAGTGTGCTTCTGTGGCTTGAGCACGTTCCAAGCTAAATTCCGTGCGCTTTTTGATCTCTGCCCCATGCTTCATTGTTGCATCTTTACATAACCTACCCGAAAAGGGGCATACTGGGCGTATGCGTTATGTACCGTAGCCATAATTGCGCATACGCATACGCGGAAAATTTAAATAGAACCCCCACTTAAAACCGATCTGGACTATATAGTAATGATTCGATTAGAATGCCATCCCAAGATGGCGTCAAGCTATCCTCCTCTCTCTCCACGCTAAAATTCTCCAACCAATTAAGATTCGATTTATCGATAAACCTTTGTTTTGGCAGTTTCGGCATTCAGCGTTCAGCGTTCTTGCTCGATCGATTTGATTGCGCCCAATTCATGGGCGAATCGCTTTGCATGTGAATGATGAAGCAGCCCCAGACGCAACCAGCGTCAAATTAGATTGCCAACTGTTTCGCAAAAGGCAGACTTTCCGAATTGTAAAAGTTTCACATCAACAGATTCTTTTGTGGGCAGTCAATGCATTCCACTGATGCCAAAACGTTTCAAATAATTGTTGATTACTAAGTTAATTTTTAAAATAAGGCGACAACACTACACACTACACAGTTATTCATTCCTAATACCCTGGCGAAGTTCAATAATTAACAGCTAGATTTCGTAGCCTTTAGGTTTCAGACAATGTCAATGCCAACCAAAAATCCTCACGATGAACAAATTACCAAAAGTCTGAATAAATATATGATGAATTACTTTTTCTTTGAGTTGCAGTTGGTCTTTCAAAACGATTCACTTTGAAATGCTATACGGCAAAAAGAACCAATTTATTGTCTAGGTTAGGTTATCAATTGCGCTTGCTCAGGTTGTTAAGGTCTACTTCCAGTACAGGTTCGGCTTTTCTTGGGCCCCCAGATTTTGCTCGGCCCGTTTACAGCTCTGGCTCTGCTCGAGCTCTGTGCTGTGCTGTGCTGTGCTGTCTGCGCCTCCTGCTCTACGCGGTTTCCATGGCGAGCTTTCAGCCTCTCGGCGCTCTCGCTTTTTCTCGCTCTCACTCACTCCCTCTCCAACCGTCCGTTTGGCCGCTCGTTCGTCTGTCTGCCTGTCTGTATGCCTCTCTCCCGCGCTCAGACAAACGCTGAACGGTGGAGCAGTGCTGCCCGCCTGGCTGTTCTCTCAGACGCGACGTCAGCAAAAATTGTATGAAGGCGACAAAAACAAAAAATAATAAAAAAAAAAATATAATAATACATGCATACGTATGTATGTATCATGTGTGAATGAGAGAATATCAAAAAATTATAAAGAAATCACACTTATTTATATACATAAATATGTACATATGTATGTATGTATGAATATATATGTATATATTTTTTATAATTAAAAATATTTGAAACACTCTCCACGAGACGCAACTGCCAACATCAAAATTAACATCAGCCCCCATACCTTTACCCTTACCCATACCCTTACCCATCTATATCACCCATCCCCATCGATATCCCCCACTTCTTGCTCGCGCCCCGGCAACACTTTTGCGAGACATGCGACGCAGAAATTAATTATCAAACATAAAACAAAACAAAACACACACTCATCAGGCAAGAGCCACATTTCGGACAACAGTCCAACAACAGGGGGAACAGCAGAGCCAGCGAAAATAATAATAAAAAAGAAACATAAAAACGCAAGAAAAACCTTGAAAAAAACAAAACGAAAAA